ACAAAGTTGGGCAAAAAAGTCTTTTAAACATTCTTTTAGAGTCATATTTGCCATCAAACCCAATCTCAAAGCAGAGATTTCAACTAGACCTAGGTGATTGTCTAGCAGGCTGTCACCAGCATGTGTCTCTTACATTATCCCTGTCTAAGAAGACAGAAAATCCTACTCAACTGTAGTGTCTCTTGTCCTTGCATCCCCAGAACAGGAGAACATAAAGAAGGACCATTGCTTACAGTTAGACCAGAGAGAGGAGTTGAGACATGGGGAAGAGTGATTGATGATTTAAGAATCAGTACTCTGGCCCTTTAGCCACCTTTGAGCACAAGGAAGTTTAGAAGGAACAGGCTAGGCTCAGCCAAACCAACAAGAGCAAAAACTTAAAATAGCCAAACATATTTCTTTTCATAAACTTTATCTTCTATAAACCTTTCTCAACATACATGGACTTCCTAGTTTTGCCATTATCTTTTTCCTATTTTGGCAGGGCAAAACCCTTATATAAAATTGTCTGATACCAAAAATATATCTTTATACCTATAACCTTCATATTTCTTTTTATACCCTACTTACTGGTTTCTTTCTGTAACAAGCCTAGTGTCTTCTTGGATTTTAAAATGTCCTCAGTACACTTTTTTTGGTGTCAGAGTGAAGTTATAGATGTTTACATTCCAATTATGACTGGCTGACTACAAACCTCCAAGTGGCCTTGAGTGGCATCCTTATCTTGGCCCAATCAGAAAGTAGCAGATGAGCAGGATAACCCTGAATTGTGGTTTAAGAACTATATTAATGAACAAGAAATATTATAAGCATATTCATGAAATAAAAAATACCAACTCAAGGTGCAAGGTCCCGAGTTCAATCCCCAGTACAAAAAAACAAAACAAAACAACAACTCAAATTGGAATCCAAAAGTAAACTTATCAATCAGCCAATTTGTCTCAATTGGCTCTTGTCAACTTCTCAAAAGTTTCTAGGAAGGCTGTTTCCTTCCCTGGATCTATAGAAGAGTTGACTCCAACTTTGTTATCCATTAGGACTCAGTGCAGGCTGCATACCATTTAAGAGATTTTTTTCCCCATCACTCTAAGAAATTGAAGTTATAACTTTTGTCTAAAAGCACCAGTTTGGCTGGGCATGGTGATGCACTCCTGTAACCTGAGCACTTGGGAGGCTGAGGCAGGAGGATCACCTCTAGTTTAAGGCCAGCCTGGACTACATAGTGAGTTCAAGGCCAACATGAACTACACAGTGACCCCTGTATAAATAAACAAAAAAACAACAAACAAATACATAAATGCAGCAGTTTATCTTACATTCAGGGGGGTAGGTGAGCAAATTGGGAGTGGTAGAAGAATTTGAGGGACAGGAAGAATATGAGTCAACAGGGAGACAAAGAATAACAGACAAGATCTCCAGGACTCGGAAGCAACAAGGGCACAACATTTAGGGTGCAGGAAAAGATTATGTGACAAAGACATTTCATACTTTGGTTGCACAAACATAAAGCATAAACCTGGAAGATGCGTGAGAGTTAGTTGTCTTGCAGAGCTTACAGTGCTCCATTCCCAGGACTGACTTATCCTTCCGTGGGAAGTCTTTGAAATGGTGGATACGCTAATAGATTTTACCCAATGCATGTCTGCAAATTTATAACCAGACAATTAAGATGAGACTAGATATTGTATAAGGTCTCTCTTACCTCCTGATAAGCTTGACAAGAAAGGGAGTCATGATAGAGAATAGCCATTTGTTCTCTCTAACACCTGCAGTGAGTTAAAGGAGCAATATGTCCAAGGACCATTGGCCACAGAGAGCCAAGAGCTCCAAAAACAGAGCTCACTCCCTTGCTAGTGGAAAAAATCAAATTAGAAAGGAAAACTGAGTCAAACTGGGCTAACATTCCCTCCACTTGTGATAGAGGGGGATCAGCTCAGCTCACATCAGTGAAATCTGTCCCCCAAGACTTCAAGATGGGAGACTATGTTAATCACTTTTAACTTATCAATGGGGCCCTGACATCATTTTGAGCAGAGAGCCATAAAGCGAAGGCAAAACATGGGAAAATGTATACCTTACTTATTTCCTCTTGAAATCCAGACAAGCCCCCAGATATGTTACCGGAACCCTGGGGTAGTGTCCCACAATGACAAAGAATGAAAATGATGGAGGAGGTAGAATGCAAGCAAATTTATTTAAGAGATATAAAGGCAAGAAAGTAAAAGGTATAAAGGAAGTAAAGCTCCTGCTGGGCAGAAGGGAGTTCTGAGTAGGACACACATAAGGGCTCCTTGTCTGGGGCTTGTTTGTTTGCTTTTTGAGACAGGGTCTCCTTTTGTGGTTCAGGCTGGTCTTCAACTCAGTATGTAGCACAGGCTGGCCTGAACTCCTGCCTTACCTCCTGAGTGATTGCAGGCATGAGCCATCACACTGGTTTAACTAGGATTTTTGTTTTTTGGGAACTCAAGACATTTGCCAGGCAGGCGTTGCACCACTGAGCTACATCCCCAGCCCTATTTAGGGGTTTTAAAGGGATTTAGAAGCAAGTTTCAGCCATTGTGCAAGCAACATTATCTCTTCCCTAAAGGAGACCCTCTTTCTTTCTTTCTTTCCTTCCTTCCTTCCTTCCTTCTCTCTCTCCTTTTTTTTGTTTTGTTTAATCTATGCAGTGTTCACTCATTGTCCAGGCAAGGCCCATGCACTCCTGATCCAATGGCCTGCCTGATCATGTTCTGTAGAGGTCCCATACAGCTGAAGGATACCTAGAAAATGTTTTTGTAAGATCTCTGGAATCTTTTGTTTTGTTTTCGAGATAGGGTATTGCTATATAAGCCAGCTGGTCTTGAATTTACTAAGGAGCCCAAGTGCTAGGATTACATGCATGCACCACCACACCCAGCAAGATCTCTGGAATCTTAATTTCTGTCTCACTAATTCTTGTTACAAACAGACAAACCTAAGTGGCTCTGTCCCTCTCATTTTTCTTCAGAAAGTCTATACCATTGCCTTGGGATCTTTTTCCCTCCCAGTACTAAGCACTATGAGAAATTAATGTATTCTCATTTGCTTATTGATATTCATGTGCCCTGGGTGATGAGTAATATTTGATTTACCCAATTCTTATTATGTGACCAGCTTCATTTTAAGCTTTTTACATGCTACCCATTTCTTTAATTTTCACAACCCATAATGTAGCTATTATTAGGATTCCAATTTTATTTTATTTATTTATTTATTTATTTATTTGGTACTGGGGATCAAACTCGGGACCTTGTGCTTGTGAGGCAGACAGCAGAACCACTGAGCTAAATCCCGGGCCCAAATTCTTTGTTTTTGGAACCGGGGATCGAACTTGGGTCCTTGAGCTTGCGCAGCAGGCGGCGAAACCACTGAGCTATATCCCTGGCCCTCCAATTTTATGAAGTACCTGCACTGCGTGAATAGTCACTATCTTAGTGAGGGAGAACTAAAAGGATGTGCGGTAAAATAAGATTGAGGGTGCCTGGTGTGGCAAAGATGAAGTGGTTTTATTTGCAAAAACACCTATTTTTTTTTTTCTTTTTTTGGTACTGGGGATCGAACTTGGGACCTTACGCTTGCGAGGCAGGCGCCAAAACCACTGAGCTAAATCCCCAGCCCCTGCAAAATCATCTTACTTGCCAGCTCTGGAAAGAAATGCCCTGGATGTTCTGTTTAGCTATGTACAATCTAACAGCAGCTCTCTAGGGATGTAAGAAATGCACTCTCAGGTTGCATCCTTAACTCAGTTTAACAGGATTCCTAGGGTATTCCTAAAAGTTTCAGAAGCACTAAGGAAGGACATGTCAAATTCCTGTTTCAATTGTAATTAGGAGCATACATTTTTTTTTTTTTTTTGGTACCGGGGATCGAACTCAGGTCCTTGTGCTGCGAGAGCATACATTTTTCCCTGCCTCACTCCTACACTCCAAGGGCCAGAAAGCCAATCACACCAGAGTAGGGGAGCGGTCAAAACTTTATTCTTTTCCTCCTGCTATTGGCCTGGCAAACATAAAATCTTTCTGGTTTTACGGCGTCAAACTTATTTATTTTTGATACAGGGTCTCGATGGCGTTGAACTTGTTGTGCCCAGATCGCGAGGTCCCCAAAGACCACCAAGGAACCGATTCCGATGCAAACACACGAGGGTCGTTTATTCAAGGTCGAGCAGGGACTCTCAACTGTCACCGACGCAGCGGGTCAAGATTGAGAGCCCTGACTCTAAAACACCAGGGGTTTTTATAGAGGTTACAGCAAGGCGCGGGGTTTCGAAAAGGGCGCGAGGTTTCAAATCACACGCAAATCACACAATTGGCTAGCATTTAGCAAGTTTTGAAAGTTTAAACCTAATTGGCTGGGCCTTGCGCGCTGAACTGCAAACGGCTGCTCAAGTTATCGAAAAGAACATCTGGGATACTGGGGTACTGGGGTAACTACTGATTAGCTGTTGCAGGCCATCAAGAAGAGCATCTGGGACATTGAGGCAGCTACCGATTAGCTGTCGCTAGGCTAGTTGCTAGGGGACTGCTGGACATTATCACAGGCAGGTGGCCAAAGTGTATCTTGTGGTTTTTCTTGGAACTAGAATTTATGTCCAGGCCACCTTTACTCTAAAATGGGGCTAAAACTTTAAAATGGAGTCACTCAGGTCTCACAAACTCATTGTGGAGACCAGGCTGTCCTGAACTCCCCAGATCTTCCTGTCTCAGTTTCTCAAGTGCAGGAATTACAGGCCTGTGCTACCACACCAGGCAGCCCCAATCTCATTTTATTCCACATCCTTTTAGTTCTCTCGAAGACAGTCGGGAACATCTATCCATACTCAAGTAGTGCAGAAATTTGGAAAAAACTCCACTCTTTACTAGCAATCCTTGCCCGTAACAAGTCTTGCCTTCTGCCCTTAAGAAAAATGGCGCCCGTGATACACGTGTTTCCGGCAGAGGAGCGAAACAGAATAGGAGAGGGCCAGAGACCGGAAGTGACCGCCCCTTGCCACTCCTCCTGCCTCTTTTCCGAGTCCTCCCTCTCCCAGGACTATGAGGCTAGCTGGTGGCTGTGGCTGAGTTTCGGTTGCTGGGTGACAAGTCCGAGCTGGGAAAGTGTGAGTGCGCGCTACCTCGACCGCTGGCCGATCTGCGACGCTCGGGGTGACCTTCCAGCGTCCAGGGACGGAGGGCGGAGAGTTGTGCGCCGGGCGCTCTGTGACGAAGCGCTGCCACCGCCCCGCCGCCGCCGCCGCGGTCTTTCGGCAAAGGAGCGAGCGAACTGGGGGACAGCAGGGTCCGGAGGCCGGCGAGTGGGGTGGGGGTTCGGGCCGCGGCGGGGCGGGGCGGGGCGGGTCCCGTGCCCGGCGTGTCGCGCTTGGAAGGCCCTTCCTGAGGTAGGTAGGTGCTCCCTCACACCGGCCCAACCGGTCCGCGCCCGCTTCCACAGGCTGCGCCTCCGCGGTCACTTCTGACCCCTGCGTGGGTCCTTTTCTGGCCACTGTGCCCCATTCCATGCACACACCAGGACTAGACTGGGGTGTAATTGTCTTTGGTCTCCAGAGAGGAAAAAATATTTCGTTTTAAACTTAATTCCTTGAAGTTTTCGGTACTTTGGCCGGAAGGCTTGCCTCATTTGTTGTAATGAAAGCTACTTCTTCCTAAGTGACTATACTGCATAGTAATTTTGGAATTTTATTTCCTCCCTCTATATGTCCACCTCCACTTCTCTAGAGCTCCAGGTTGGGAAATTTAATAACTTGGGTATTGTTGTGAACTGGGCTTCCTCTCTCTCTGCCACCCGGATCCCTTGATCTACTTAAGAGTCACGTGCAGTTGCAATGTAGCCATAATTAGTTTCATCTTCACCAAAGAGAAATAAAGATTTTGGTAGATTTCGCCTGATTGTGAGATACCACTCGAAAGTAGTCTTTAGTTTCTGGCGAAAACACTTTCCTGGAAAAACCATTGCCTAAAGATATTTTAGTAGTTTACTTTTATCACAGCGAGTTGAGGAGTGAAAAGTTCTGTCTTTATCGTTCAGATAAATTAGTAACTTTTCTTTTTCTTCTTTTTTGGAAGGAGGGGGTACTGGGGAGTGAATGCATACTACACAGGTGCACTAGAATTGAGCTGCATTTCCAGCCCTTTGAAAAATTTGTTGTTGATTTTTTTTTTTTTGGTACCGGCGATTGAACTCGGGACCTTGTGCTTTAGAGGCAGGCGGCGGCACCCTTGAGCTAAATCCCCGGCCCCCTTTGAAAAATTTGTATTTGGAGACAGTCTTGCTAAATTACACAGGTTGACCTTGAATTCCTAGGCTTAAGCAACAGTCCTGGTTCAGAACCTGTGCACCACCTTTAGGAAAATTCCTGCTTTTCTAACTTGTTTTCTCTCACAGAGGGATAATGGCAGAAACTGCTTCTCCGCTGAAGCACTTTGTGCTGGCTAAGAAGGCAATTACTACAATCTTTGGCCAGTTACTAGAGTTTGTTACTGAAGGATCGCATTTTGTTGAAGGTTTGTTCCTTTCAAATTCTCAAAATGATTGTTGTTGAAAGTATATAAAAGTGTGTTTTATCTGCATTAGGTATCAAACTCACATATAGGATGTGCTGTGTACTGTGAAGGATTCCATAACAAATAAAGCCCATTTCTGCCCTCCGGAGGAGGATTACATGGTATAATGATTAAGAAATAAGTACTTCCAAGCACTTTAGTATATTAATTGCTGTTTCAGTTAACTTTTCTCGTTACTGAGACAAAAGGTGGGACACCCAGAATAAAAGAAGGAAAGGTTTATAGTAGCTCAGTTTGTAGAGGTCAGTCCATAGTCGGCTGGATCCAACACAGGGTGGCGTGGCAGAGGGCCTTGCAGAAGAGAAACACTTTGTAGCATGGCAGGCAGAAGGCAGCAAAGCAGGGAAGTAATGAAGCTGCAGTTGGCCACAGCCTTCCTTCTGTCCCTTAGATTCTATCCAGGCTACACACCTTAGGGCGGGTAGCACTCACACCCAGGGTGGGCCTTCCCATTATCCACACTTAGAACTATGCCAAATGAAAAAAAAAATTTGAAAAGAAAAAAATTGTGATAACTAGTTGTTCAAATAAAGATGATGAGGAATATATTATCAGGATATATTTGGAGATAACTGTTGACATTTCTTCTGAGATTCCAGTAAGTTCATAGAGTCAAACTTTGTTTCCCCCTTTTTCTCTGACCTTCCCTTACCAGGTTTTGAGCTCCTCAGGGCTGCAACCCTTTCTTAGTTTGTTTTCAGTACCTAATTCAACACATTTCAAAATTTGTTGAATGAGATTTTTAAAAAATTACTGGTATAGAATTGTGTGTGGTGTGCACGCATACATGCACATACACACACACATGCACACACTACTGGGGCCTTTGCTCAGACCTACATCCCCAGTCCCTTTTTATACTGAGTTAGGGCCTTCCTAGGTTGCTTAGGATTAAAGTCACAATCCTCCTGTCTCGGCCTTCTAGAGTGCTAAGATTACAAACATGCACCACCATGTGCAGCTTGGCATAGTATCTTTATGTTTCTAATTTGGCAAGAAATTAATTTGGTACAATGACTTTTTTTCCCCCATTTTCTTTTTTTTTTTTGGTACTGGGGATCAAACTCAGGACCTTGCGCTTGCGAGGCAGACAGAGGAACCACTGAGCTAAATCGTGGGCCCTTCCCCCATTTTCTTAAACATTTTATTTAATGTGATAATGAAAGTGACTCTGTAGTCCTTTCTCTCCATACCGTTATTGGAATCTTCTGGCTATGCCAAAATGTTATCAGGTAGCTCCTTCCAAAAGTAGCTTGCTAATTAAATGTTACTGGGTTCTGGATTGCTCACTTCTGGAGTTAGATTCTAGGTTCTCGTCTTGAACAAAGAATTGAATGAAACAAGCAAAAAGCAGTTGCAAAGTTTATTTGAAAAAGTAAAAGTGAAGAGGGAGAAAGAAACTAGCTCTGCAGAGCAAGCTTGGGCTGAGTAAAAGAGGAAAAAGCAAGATAAAAGTACACCCTGGAGAAAGCAGGGTGGGCTATTGTGAAAAAGCCAAGATAGCCTATTTTTTCTTTGTTTCCTTTTTTTTTTTTGAGACAGGGTCTTGCAGTGCAGTTTAGGCTGGCCTTGAACTCACTGTGTAGCCTAGGCTGGCCTGGAACATGCGGTTCTTCTTGCTTCCGCCTCCGGAGTGCTGGGATTACAGATGTGTGCCATCACATCTGGCACAATGACTTTTGAAAAGTATTTTTTCTAAAAAAGTTGATAAGTGAAAATTAAGTTACATGTAACATTTCCTGCATGTGGAGCCTGTTACAGATTGAGGGTAGGCTAGGAATGAGTGAAAAGGCAATTTTAGAATCAGAATTTAATTTTACTTGTTCTAGAACCTCAGAAAAAATTTTTCCAAAAAGAGACAAATTAAAAGAAAAAACAGGTAAATTTTTAAAAGTGAGAGACAAATCAAGGGTGGGGTAGCACATAGCAGAGGCCTGTAATTCTAGAACTCTGGAAGGCTGAGGCAGGAGGATCACAAAGTGAAGTCCATCCTGGGCAACTCAGCAAAATAGTGAGATCCTGCCTCAAAAAATAAAGGGACCTGGGAATGTGTGAAGGCCCTAGGTTCAATCTCCAGTAACTGTCCCCCTCACCCCCATAAAAAAAACAAAGCAAAATAAATCAGGAATATGGAAGAGCAAGAATAAAATGAAACCAAAAGTGAGTGTAACCATACTTAGCCATTCTTTTTCTTGGCTCAAGTTTAATTAGATGAACATTTGGTAAAGTTTTTTTTCTTTTTCTCCGGTATCAGGGATCGAATTTAGGACCTTGTGCTTTTGAGGCAGGTGCAGTACCACTGAGCTAAATCCCCAGCCCCTGGGTAATGTTTTAAATGGCACTGTTTGTCTATAATTAAGAAAATTTAAATAGCCAAATGAGGGCCAGGGATTTATCTCAGTGGCATCACGCCTGCCTCATAAGTGTAAGGTCCTGAGTTTGATTCCCAGTACCAAAAAAAACCAGCCAAATGAATCTGTGTCTTTTTTTTTTTTTTTTGGTATCGGGGATTGAACTTGGGTTTCGGTATCGGGGATCAAACTTGGGTCCTTAGGCTTGTGGGGCAGGCGGTGGAACCACTGAGCTAAATCCCGAGCTCGAATCTGTGTCTTTACTTTGAAAAAGAAATGATAATGCAGATGTCAGCTGGGGATTTAGCTTAGCGGTGTAGTGCCTCCTTGGCAAGTGTGAGGTTCTGAGTTCAATCCCCAGTACCAAAAAAAAAAAAAAAATAAGTGTCAGTGCTGAAAGAAAACAAAACTGAAAGGTTTTTCTACTTTTCAAACCCAGCTTCTGTAGGTAATGTAGTACTAATTCTTCTGGACTGGGTTCTTAAGATCCATTGCAGTGAGGCATGTACCCCTTCCCAAATACCTAGATACTACAAGCATTTTTAGATTTCATATGGCATGTTATAGGACAAAGGCAAAATATGTACAATTTTAGGTATTTCATTGTATAATTTAATATTTGTGTTACTTTTTCTAATACCATTTCAATTTTGCAGCAACATACAGGAATCCAGAACTTGATAGAATAGCCACTGAAGATGATCTGTTGGAAATACAGGGGTATAAAAACAAGCTTTCTGTTATTGGTGAGGTGCTATCTCGGAGACACATGAAAGTTGCATTTTTTGGCAGGTAAACCTTCATTATTTCATCTAAGGTTAATTTCCAGAAATCAGCATTTTTTGGTAACATTCTCAACTTTTTCTGCTTCAGCAAGTTATATTCCTCCCACAACTGTTTATACCTGTGATAAATGTTAATGTTAAAGCTCTTAACATGTAAGAGAATTTGTTTATTTTAACTTCTGGTATAAAATGAAACTCTAAGATCAGTGATGTTTTTACCTTTTAGGTAAAAACAGGCTTTTAGGCTCTTGGGGAATTATAAGAATGGAAGTACAGATCAATAATGAGCATAATTTGTCACTTACTCTGAATTTACATTGATTATCAAGTATGAGTTCCAGAAGGACCTTGAACTCTGATTTCCAGAGGGGGAGTAGGAAGCACCATGTAACTGTCTGGAGTAATAGAATGGCCTCTGTCGAAGCTTACACATCCATTTAACAGTCAGTTATTGAGGTGGGGATGTAGCTCAGTGACAGCACTTGCTTGGCATACTCAAGGCCCCAGCACCACAAAGATAAAAAAAAAATCAGCTGTTAACTACTGTGTATTCTGCACTCTAGATACTACTGTTACCAGGTTTTGGGGTGCTGGCGTTTCCTTTTGGAGTTGGTCTCTAGGTTCTTTCTGTCTTGAGCGAAGAACTGGTCAAGACAAGCATAAATGGTAGCAAAGTTTTAGTATATGTGCTGCCGAAGTGAGCACAAATGGTAGCAAAGTTTTATTAAAGATAGGAAAAGAAACAGACTCTGTAGAGTGAGTTTGGCTCAAGTGAAAGGAGGAAAAGAAATGAACAGCTACTTCCCCAGCCAGCCTTGCCACACCCTAATCTCTTGTCTCACTGGGATACAAAGACCAATGACTAGCCCCATATTTGGTCTCTCAGATATTATGCTTTACATCAATTAAAATGTTATTTATTTGCCTACTGTAGTGGGGATTGAACCCAGGCTCCACATGGAGCTATATACCCAGCCCCACTCATTATTTTTTATTTTGAGATAGGGTCTTCCTAAGCACTAAGTTGACCAGGTCGGGCTTGACCTTGTGATCCTCTTGCCTCAGCCTCCCAGAGTACTTGGATTGCAAGTATGCATCACCACTCACAGCCAGAGCATTTATTTACTAAACCTAAGCTACTTCCCATTTGAGAGCTTTCTTTTTGCACTTAAAATTTTCTGTCTATCTCATTCTTTAGGTCTCATTCTAAATGTTAGTACCTCAGAAGCCTTCCCTGACCATTGTAAAGGGTTCCTTCTAACTATCATTCTGTCTTATTTCTTTTGAGACAAGGTCTTGTTACGTAATTCAAGCTAGCCTTGAAATCAGCCAAGGCTGCTTTGAACTCACAGCAATCCTGCCCAGCCTCTTGGGTGCTGGCCTTACACAGGGGTACACCACCATGGCTGACTGGCCCCTAATTTATGATGCTCAATTTAACAGGTTGTTTTCCCACCTTTATGGTGGTACAGTAGCGATACACACTCACCTGCAACAGTGTTTTGAATTTTAATTTTGTTTTGGCTAGCGGTATGTAGTATAATACTTTCTCAAGGTGCTGAACAACAAGCCACAGCTTCTACTTAGCCACGTGATCACAGGGTGAACAGCCAATACTCTATAGCAGTGGTGGCAAACCTATGGCACATGTGCCACAGCTGGCTGTTTGTATCATTGAAAGTTCTAAAAGGTTCACCATCACTGCTCTGTTGTATACATACTGTGTTGCTAAACTATGATGTTGGGTAGATTAGATGCAGTAAATGCATTTTCATCACATGGTATTTTCAGCTTATTGTGGGCTTATCAGAATGTAACCCCATCATAAACTGAAGAGCATTTTTATTAGCTTTGGATGTTAAAATGGTCTAAAAGCCCATTCCTTGAAAAGATCTATAAATGGAAAGGGAAGAAGAGAAGGAGACCATGATGTTTATAGGTTGTTGAAGTTTAGGTATTAGGGAACATTGCTAAGAGGATAGAGAAGTTAGTGGGTATTATAGACATGTAAATTATATAGCATATTTCTTTTCTTTTTTTTTTTTTTTTTTGGTACTGGGGATCAAACTCTGGACCTTATGCTTGTGAGGCAGGCGCCGGAACCACTGAGCTAAATCCCCTACCCTAAATTATATAGCAATTAATATACAGTAAGAGAGGGATGGACCCTCAGCAAAGTCGCACAAAGAGTAGAGACGTCAGAATTGTGGTTGGAGGTGAATCTGAAGAGGGCCAGGCCTCAGGATGGAAAAGCAATAACCAAACCTGCACTCCTCCCTAGAGATAAGCAGCAATTTAAGATTATACTGTAATGAGCACCACCCAATCTCTGCAGCCCAGATAGGCATCAGACACATAGCTGGATGACTAGAACATCTGGACCCATACTCCTCATTCCAAAAATGCCTTTGTTCTTTCCCTGTACTCTTGCTATGTGACCTGCTTCCCTATTGGATCAATATTAGCTAGGTGACCATACTTGCAATCCTATAGGTTGATTATAGTTTGACCCGTGTTGTGATTTTGCTGTATAAATTACCTCTGACAAAGAGTCTCGGTGGCTGCCCACTTGACCTCCCCCTGGAAATCCAGGAGCTATTCTTTTTCTCCTTGTTTCTCATAAAACTCCTGTAACTTCCTCCTTTGGTTTGTGACTTCACACCTTGATGTTGTGAGACCATGAACTGGGCACATTTGGTATCTAACAGGTTAGGAAGTATATTTTTCCATATCACAAAGACAAGATTGTTAAGGACCTTTTTTATTATGGCAAGGAGTCTACATTTTTTATATAATATCAATAAGAGGATTTTTTTTTTAAGGATTTGGTATTGTGATTTTGGATATAGTGTGAAGGATAGTTTGAAGGGTGAATAGGAGGTAGAAGGCGGTTGCAGTAATCTAGGCAAGACATTTTAAGAACCTACCTTGTGAGATTGGAGAGCCTCTGCTCCAGTCTTGAAGAGAGATAGATGAAAGGTACATTAGGCTAGCTGGTGATTAGTTACCCAGGAAAATAAGTGAAGAGTAAAAAGTTACTTGGTTGGCTGAGTGCCCTTCATTGAGATGGGTTTGTGGAAAGAAGATAGAGTAATTTGGTTTTGGATAATTTTCATTTGTGGTACTTAGTAGGCATTCAAATAGAGCTATTCAGAGGTGGTTGTATATTTGAGATTGGTACTATGGAGAATTTTAGGAAATTTAAGAATCACTAGTTTAAGTTGATAATTGAGACCACAGGAATTGATGAGGTGAAGGGAAGAGCATGTAATAAAAAAGGAAAACAGTGGCAGGATTGGGGAGAGGAAAAGGAACCTTCCATGGAATAGTGATGCCAGACAGGTAAAAGAAAAAATAGGAAAGACTGGTATAAGATAAACTGAAATATATTTGGTCTTCTTCCCTGTTCTTTGTACAGAATTCCTAAAGCCTTTGGAATTTCTTGAGTGATAGGAATAGCTTTTGTTATTTAGTTTATTTATTTATTTACTTTTTTGAGTCAAGGTCTCACTATGTAGTTCAGGCTGGCCTTGAACTCACAATGTAACCCAGGCTGGCCTCCAACCCCTTCTGCCTTCTTAGCTTTTGTTATTATCTACCCCTTTTCATTAAACCTGAGTTTCTATTCCTTAGGTGGCTTAGTGTGGGTCCTTAGGTAGTTCAAGGAGGGGCCAGTCACCAGAAAGACTGACTGATCAGAGGATTACTGAGTTTTCAGCCCCACATACCAGTCTCCGGGAAGAAGGGTGACAGGAGTTGAGTGGGGTAGTGGGTCGTTGGGATTAAGTTTTCTTTCTTTACTTACTTTGTTTTTTTGAGACAGGGTCTTGCATGTAGTTTAGGCTGGCTTTGAACTCATTATGTAGCCCAGACTGGCCTCAAATTTATGGCCTCAGCCTTCTGAGTGCTGGAATTACAGGCATGTGCCATCACACCCAGCTCAGGATTAAGCTTTATTTTATTTTATTTTATTTTTTTCGAGACAGGGTCTCCTTATGTAGTTCATGCTGGCCTTGAACTCACTATGTAGCCCAGGCTGGCCTTGATCTTGATGAAATTCTCCTGCCTCAGCCTCCCAAGTGGTGGGATTATAGGTGAGTGGTGGGATTGCAGGTGTGCACCACCATGCCTGGCTCCAGGATTAAGCTTTATAGAATCTCTTGAGCAACAAGGTTGATGAGTTTCTAGGTTGTAGAACACATGGAAATGCTGGAAGGGTGGCATGTTCAGAGAGGGCACTGATACTTGACACATACAACCCATCTTTTCACCTATGGAAGGGCAATCAATCCTCTAGCTTCGTAGGAAGGGGGACAGTGAAGGCTAAAGAAAGAATGGTGACTTGAGTAATTTCAAAGTGCATGGGCACCCGAGAGGGCAGAGCCTTAGAGTGGGGAAAGACAAAGGAAGAAGCATCAGAAGGAGCATCAGATGACTTAGGGAGTGGCCGTAATCCTATGTTGATAGGAATCTTATGTTGAGGGCAGTAAGGAGAGCATTCTTAAAATAGTAGGTGGGAAAAAAAAAATAGGTGAACAAAAAAAAAAGTAGCTGGCTAAAAAAGAAAAGTTGTTCTTCCCCCAGCTGAAAATTTATCTTTTTTTTTTTATTACTACTCTACTCTTGTCCTTGAGCATCACAGTATCATGAGACCATTGAGGCCTCAACTTGTGACCCAAGGCGAAACAGTTATGTTTCCTCTTGTGATAGCCTGCTCATGGGCAAGGTGACATTGGGCCTTAGACAGCTGTAGTTGTACACAAGTGTTTCCTTAAGTTCTGTGAGCTGTCCTCAAACCTGAGGAGATGGGTTCTGTGGGCCTCCTGATTTACACTTGGTCAGTCAGAAGCACAGGTCATAATGGGAGACTTGTAGTTAGCCTCCAAAGTGGGGAACAGTTTTGTGCAACTAAGTGCTTATTCTGTAGTTTCTTCTTTTTTTTAATAGCACAACATTTATTGGTACATTTTAGGCGTACATAATGATAACACTCAGTATAGGGAGTTTGCACCTGTACATGGTGCATCCATCCCCCTCTTTTTTCTTCTTCCCCCTCCCTTCAAGCCTCCTCCCCCTATTTGCAAAAGCTGTTTCCATTTTTTCTTTCTGTTTTCACTTTTTTTTTTCTTGTCCCTTCCTACCTTTCTCCCTCCTTCCTTGCTTGTTCTCTTTCCCATTTGAACATTTTCTTCCAATTTCCCAATATGTTCGGTCATTTCTGACACTGTCTTCAGTTAGTTGGTGACAAATTAATTGAATTCAGGGACAGACATTTGGTGTCAGCTGTAGACTGACTTGGTGTGTGAGGATTGCCTGAGTTTGAGGTCACCTGGGCTATATCACTGTTGAGATAATTAACGTGAGATGGTTTCCTGGGAGGAGGTTGGGAATGATATCCAGAGCTTAAATGAAAGTATGACTCTTAGATGGAGAGAAAGAGGTGAAGCATGAATATAAGGATGTTTTGCAGTGAAGCCAAAGACTCTAAATAGCTTCTTTGGTTTGGATTGATTGAAAGCAAGCTCCTGAAGAGGATATAAGGTGTTCTTGGGGTTTAGTGTCATCAAAAGTGCTGTGATTCTATGACTGCATAACAAATTATCTAAAACTTAGCAAGTTACCATTATATTATGCTCATTGATTGTGTCAGTCAAGACTTTAGACAGAGTTCAGAGGGGATGTCTTTACTTCATGATATCTGGAGCTTCATGAGGATTAGGGTTGGCTCAGCAGCTGAATGTAGTATTGGAATCATCTGAAATATTCACTCATACTTCTGGAGCTTCACTCACCTGGCTGGAACAAGTGGAAGACCAGGTCTGCCAACTGGAGCACCTGCCCAGACTCTGTTTAGCTTGACTTCCTTGTAGCACAGCAGATTTGGGATAATTGGACTTCTTATGTGGCAAGTGTCCAAGTGCATGTGATCCAGTAAACAAGACAGAAGCTTCATTGCCTTTTTTTGTTTTGTTTTGTTTTGGTACCGGGGATCGAACTCGGGACCTTGCGCTTGCGAGGCAGGCGCCAGAACCACTGAGCTAAATCCCCAGCCCTTCATTGCCTTTTATGTTTAGTCTTGGAAGTCACCCAGTGTCATTCCCGAGGTATTTGTTGAAGCCATCACAAACTAGCCCAGATGTAAAAAGATGGGACATGAGACCTCATGTTGTGATGGGAGGGATATCAGGATTTTGACCTGCCTCTAGTTTCAAATTGCCACAAGAAGCAAGACAGAAAAATAAAATACAGCTTTATGGGAAAAGATGTAGTTTTCTGGTACCCTAATTTTTCTAAATGTACGTTGCTAGTGTTTAGGTGAGGTTGTCAACCTTTTATAAATAATTAATTGGGGAGGGGCCGGGGATTTAGCTCAATGGTTTCACTGCCTGCTGCGCAAGCGCAAGGACCTGAGTTCAATCCCTGGTACCTAAAAAAAAAAAAAAAAAAAAAAATTAATTGGGGGACCAGGGATTTAGCTCAGTGGTTCCAGCACCTGCCTTGCAAGCACAAGGTCCTGAGTTCGATCCCTGGTACCAAAAAAAAAAGTAATTCAATGAAATTAAATGAATTGATATTTTGAAAAAGTTAGCCCAAAACATAAAGAACAAATATTTTGCAGGTGTGGCGACACAAGCTTGTAATCCCGGCACTTGGGGAGGCTGAGGCAGGATCACCTTGAATTTGAGGCCAAATTTGGGCTACATAATGAGCTCAAGGCCAGCCTGAACTACAAAGTGAGACCCTGTCACAAAAACCAAACCAAACCAAAACAAAACAGAAAAACACACACACACACACACAAAAAAGAACTATTTTACTGGTTTTTTTTAATGATTCTGAATATTTTTTAGGACAAGCAGTGGAAAGAGCTCTGTTATCAATGCAATGTTATGGGATAAAGTTCTCCCTAGTGGGATTGGCCATACAACCAATTGCTTCCTGAGTGTCGCAGGAACTGATGGTGATAAAGCCTATCTTATGACAGAAGGATCGGATGAAAAAAAGAGTGTGAAGGTATGATATTTAACCATTTCAGCATAATGTACCTAAAACAGTGTCCTTGCAGTTTTAAGTTCTGCTGCATAAGATGTCTGCATTGCTGGAGATGGAAGAATTGTTAATAATTGCTTTTCATAACTTTTAAAGCCATCACTAACATTTTGAGTTCTTCCTCGCTCTCTGTTCTTTTTTTTTCCCCCTTCAGAGCTAAATTATTGGGAGAATAAAACTTGTCCTTAATCTTTTGCAGTGTTGGGAATTGAACAGGGTTTCATGTATGCTAGTAATCACTCTACTGCTGGGCTACACCCACTGCCCTGTTCTTACCTTTAAATAAATGGAGAATTAGCAGTTCTCTTAAGCCTTCTAGTAAGGACAGTATTACTAAAGTGTAGTGTTGCTATTTAATCTCAAATCTGTTTTGTTTTTTTAGCACATCTTTTTTTTTGGTATCGGGGATCAAACTTGGGACCTTGTGCTTGCACGGCAGGCGCCGGAACCACAGAGGAACCACAGAGGAACCACAGAGCTAAATCCCCGGCCCTCTGTTTTGTGTTTTTGAGAGAGAGCTTCACTAGGTAGTTCAGGGTAGCCTTGAACTCACTTTGTAGCCTCAGCTGATCTTGAATTTGTGGTAATCCTCCTGCCTCACCCTCCCAAATTCTAGGATTACAGGCATATGCCACCATACCTGGCTTGTCTATTTTTTTTTTTTTTTTAACTTTGCTTTAAAAATGGACCCTGGGGGTCGGGGATTTAGCTCAGTGGTTCTGCCGCCTGCCCCGCAAGCGCAAGGACCCAAGTTCGATCCCGGTACCAAAAAAAAAAAAAAATGGACCCTGGAATCTATTTTTGATATCTATTTTTAGAAACTCTTTTACCTCAGAAGTTGCTAAGCATCTTCATGAATAAATGTCATAGATTTATCAGATAAGGGCAAATGGCAATTTCCTCCCTTTCATTTTTTTTGAAAGGGTGTTAGAGGTCCAACCCAGGGCCTTGTGCATGTTAGGCAAGGGCTCTACCACTGAGCTGTACCTCAGCCCTTTGGAAAATTCCTAAATTCACTGGCACTAGATTTCTTCAGCTGACAAAAGAATAAGCTAGAAAGAAATTATGCTATCTCATGTTAACTCTTGTTGGAAAGAAGTTGGTAAGGTACTGTTTCTCACCGTCCCCCGCTGGGGTGCTGGGGATAGAACCAGGGCCTTACACATGCTAGGCAGGTAATCTACTGCTGAGCTACAGGCCCAGCTTAGTCACCCTTTCATGCCTAACACTCTTTGCACAGACAGAAGTTCATTATTAAAGAAGCTTTCTATTTTAGATCTCGCTGCACTGTAGGTGAAGTCATGGGCCTAGTTTTGTGAGTTTGCTTTTTGACACACATCAGGTGACAACAGTCTGACCTTGGACTGAGCATACCCTTGAGGTTAGTTATGGGAACAGATAAGATGATTATGAAAATATTCATCATACTTTTAACTCATACAGTTAAAAGAATCACTATTTTTCGTAACTAAGATTTTTACCAAATCAGAATTCAAACTGTCAGTGGCTTTAGAGAATCTCAAAAGGAAAATGTACTATTTCATTTATTTTTGTTTATTTTTTTGAGACAGTCTCACTATGTAATTCAGGCTGCCCTTGAACTCACTATGTGGCCTAGGTTGGCCTTGAACTCATGGTGATCCTCCTGCCTCAGCCTCCTGAGTGCTGGAAACACACAGGTATACATGTCTAGCTCTGTGTGATATTTTAAAAATGTCATCTCATTTTTTCTTTTTTTTTTTTGATCGAACTCGGCTCCTTGCACTTGAGAGGCAGGCACTGGAACCTCTGAGCTAAATCCCCAGCCCTTCATCTCATTTCTTCTGATCTGTGCCCTTCCAGTTCTTTTCCTTCACTGCCCTTTTCTACCCCCTTCATACTGCCAAATTTAAATTTGATTATCTCAAGTAGTGGCCTGCTTTACAATATTAATAGACTTTGAGTCTTGTGCTATAACATCTACTTAGCGAAAGAAGCATGACAGTAATAGTACCTCACTGTTGTAAACACTTGTAATAACTCAATAAGCAAGGGGACCAGAGACTCACTACATTTGTCAGATAGATGTTTCTCTTATCTTGATTTTATAGGTGAGGCACCACAGTTTCAGTATAAGTTTACAAATCTATCAAAATGTTTACTAAAGTAAGCAGACACACACCGCCCAAATAGCTAACATTGTCACTGTACAGATTTACTTCACCTCTGATCAGCTGTGATCAGGACTCTGGAGTACATTTGAAAATAGATGTTTTCCTTTAAAATTTGATACAAAATCACAAAAGAATTATAAAAGTATATGTACAGATGTTCTTGATTCATTTTATTAATTTTAAACCCTCTGTATTATATGTAAAACATACATGAAGTGTACTAATCTACACATTCGTAAATGTGTGTCAGAAGTCATGTTGAGAAATAAAAATATTTTAGGAATTTAAATGGAAAGAAAAGGCACATTGATTTTAAGCAGGTTTGTATATAACTTACTGCTGAAAAAATCTTTTATTAAAAGGCAAATATGTATTGACCTTTTCTATTTCCTCTGCTTACTCCTATAGAGTTTTTCATTAAATCTGTTTTAATGAAGACATTTCTTTTAGTACTGATATTTCCCTCTTATTACTTAAGCAATACACATTTGTTCAGAAGAGTCGGAAAATACAAATAAGCAAGGGGCCCAGAGTCTCTAAATAAACTCAGACTTTACAAATTCAGAATGAATTTCAGGAGTTGTATAGGATTCTATTGCTAGAGTTCTATTGGTTGGTCAGGGTTGGTTTCCAGAGCTGATTATTTTTGTAGGATGTTATGAGTAAATTGTTTTAAGGAAATTTTTTTCCTACTTGATAATTGAAAAACTTGGGTTTCTTAAGATTGCTCAGATCGTTTTATTTCAAACTGTTTACAGTTCTACCTTTTTGAAAATGAATGTTGTGCCAAATCTTGGTATTTGAAATTTTATTACAAATACAGGCTTTTTTGTTCTTTTTTTTTTTCCCCCTGCTTTAGACAGTTAATCAGCTGGCCCATGCCCTCCATATGGACAAAGACTTGAAAGCTGGTTGTCTTGTGCACGTGTTTTGGCCAAAGGCGAAATGTGCCCTCTTGAGAGATGACCTGGTTTTAGTAGACAGGTAAAATTACTTGTGAATGGTGTTTTCTGTGGGTGTTGGTTTATTTAATAGAACAGTGCTCTTTAGTGTATGGTACATAAAAATTAAAAACATTTAACTACTGCCTGTTCTCATTCAAGATTGTTAAGGAACAGCCAAAGTGTTGATTTCTTTTTCTTTCTATCTTTTTTTTTTTCTCTGTAGTAGTACTGGGGATTTAACCCAGGGACTTTGCACTAAACTGCATCCCTAGCCAGGGGTCTCACTAAGTTGTCTAGGCTGGCCTCAAATTTGTGATCCTCCTGCCTTGGCCTCTGGAGTAGCAGGGATTATAGGTATACATCACCACACCTAGCCTGATTTCTTTTGTCATAGTTGCATAGTTTTAATTCTAATATATGTATACACACACAGATACACACACACACACATACACACACACACACGCACACACACACACGCATGCAGAGTCTTGCTATTGAAATTCAAGCTAGTCTTGAACTCACAGCGATCCTCCTGCCTCAGTATCCCAAATGCTGTGATTACAGGTGTGCTCTCCCACCCCTGCATCACTATGATGTGTTTTTAAAATTATCCTGTTTTATGGTAATAAAATGATTATACTTACCAGTTGAGTTTCATCACTAGCTAAAAGCTTACTTGAGTGGTTTTCTAAAATTTGGGTGTGCTCTTATTTTCTTTAGTTAACATTTTAGTGTTTTGTGGAAACTTGTTTTGTTTTTACAGTACTGGAGATTGAAACTAGGGTGTTTACATTGAATTATATCCCCAGCCCTTTTTAATTTTTATTTTCAATTTTTTTTTTTTTGGTACTGGGGATCGAACTCAGGACCTTGTGCTTGCAAGGCAGGCGGCAGAACCACTGAGCTAAATCCCCAGCCCTCAATTCCTTAAACTTTATTTTTTATTAGTACACATTTGTCATACATAATGATCGCACTCATCATAGGCAGTTGGTCCCTGTACATGGTATATCTTACTTCTTTTTTCCCATTTCCCTCCCCTCCCTTCAACTCTTGTGCCCCTCCGCATTTATACAAGATTTGTTTTCAGGGGCCGGGGATTTAGCTCAGTGGTTTCGCCGCCTGCTGCGCAAGTGCAAGGACCTGAGTTCGATCCCTGGTACCAAAACAAACAAAAAACAACAAAGATTTGTTTTCATTTTTTTCTTCCATTCTTTTTTACTTTTCCCTTCTTTCCCTTCCCTTCCCTTGTTCCCTCCCTTGTTCTCCTTCCCATTTGTAAATGTTCTTCCTTTATTTTTATTTATTTATGTATTTATTTGTTTGTTTTGCTTTGGTTTGCTTCGCTTTTTTGAGTTAAGGTCTTCTTAATGTAGTTCAGGCTGGCCTTGAACTTGCAGTGATCCTCTTGCCTCAGCCTCCTAATGCTGGGTTTACAGGCATGTGCCACCATGCCTGGCTTATTTTTTATTTTGAGGTAGGGTCTTGCTAAGTCTAAATTGCTCACCCTGAGATTGAACTTTTGATATTCCTGTTGCAGCCTCCCAGAGTATTGATATTATAGGTATTGCCACCTTGCCTGTCTGGAAATGATTTGTTTTTGATGATGGGCTTTCCTTTCCATTGGAAAAGTGTTTCAAGCAACCTTTAGGAATAATTCAGATGAGACAAGAGATCAAAATACTCTAAATATACTAGTAACTAATTTTGCTTTTTTTTTTTCCACAGCCAGACTAAATCCATAACTCTACCAGTCAAGGTAGATAGCAGGCAAATCTTTCTTTACAATTTTTATAATAGATGATATATTAAATTTATAGATTCCAGAGAGTGCTTTATTTTTCATTATTTGTGCTTGTAAGCACTTATGTCTCTGAGCTATACGGGATGTAGCTACTTGCACTCTCATTTTTGACTATTAGTTCGTTTTAGTTTTCAGTACTTATTTTTCAGCCTTTGAAAACATGAAGATTAAAAAGATTGAAATATCACTATCAAAAATCACTGGCTAAAGTCTCCTGGGCATCATACAGATGACTGGTAGAAATCTTGTCTTTCAGGCTTCAAATAATACATGATGTTTAGGAAAAAAGTTTATAACCTAAATTTTCTTTCCAAGAAATACCATGTAATATGATTTTTATTTCACTCCCATTAGTCCAGGCACAGATGTCACAACAGAGCTGGATAGCTGGATTGATAAGTTTTGCCTCGATGCAGATGTCTTCGTTTTGGTTGCAAACTCTGAATCAACACTAATGAACACGGTAGGATTTAATCATATTAACTGTGTTTGGGTGGTAGGAAATTAAATGATGTCCATTTTAGTTAAGAAAACTGGGGAAATTGCAATCATGGATTAGAACCTCTAAAATTGGGCGAATGAGAGTGTTTGTGTGTTCATAGGACCAGAAAGGCTATTTCTGGTCTTCTGTGTTGATCGCTTTACAGTAGCACTTCGATTCCCAAACTTAATTCTTTCCATGATTCTGGTCGAAAACTGAATTGGTCTCAAACTGAATCAAATTCAGTGGTTAGGTTCAGTGTTACCTTATGGGGAAATTTGATGTGGTTCATGACCTGTTTGCAACCAGAATCATGGAAAGAATTAAGTTTGTGAACTGAGATACCACTGTAGCTTTGGGTGAATCTTGATGAATGTAAGGTGACAAGGTATGTGATATTAATTTGCTCTGAGTAGTTGTCAGTCTCAGAGGGAATAGGTGCCAGAATTTTTAGAATGTTAATGGAAGTCTCTTTAATAAAGTATAAACGACTTCTGCTCCCATACCCTGCCACCTGCTGGGCAAAGCTTTTTATATTTTCAATTTTGTCAACCTTTTCCAGCTCTACCAGTGCATACTTCCAGCCTACTTGTGTACACTCAAAGCTGCTGTCAAAAAAGATTATTTACCCAGAATATCTAGAGCCAAGTTCATTTCAAATGAACTTTGCATAGTTTAGATATCTAATATCCAAAACTGTGGCATGATTTTTAAAAATTCTTACTGATCAGAAGCGTGTAAGGGTTTTTTCTTTTTCTTTTTTTTTTTTTTTTTGGTACTAGGGATCGAACTTGGGACCTTGTGCTTGCAAGGTAGGTGGCGGCACTGCTGAGCTAAATTCTGGCCCTGCCATTGTGTTTTTAATACTCGAATGGCTCAGTCTATATTATAAAGCCCAGGCTACTGTAATAACATTGATAATTGCTTATAACCTGGTAATATGAAAAGATGCTTATGTGTTAATATATATTCTCATTTTACTTATGCTATTCTTGTGTGTGTGTGTGTGTGTGTGTGTATGTGTGTATGTGTGTGATAGGAATCAAACACAGTGCCTTGTGCATCCTGGGCAAGCGCTTTGCCATTGAACTACACATCTAGCCCTCCAAAGACCAGATTATCCTGGTCTTTACCTACAATTTGTCTATATCTGAACTTTAGGTCTTTCAGCAACTCTATTAACAGTACTTTTGGGGGTTTTTTTGATTTTTTTTTTTTTTTTTCTTTTGAGGCAGTGTCCCACTATGTAATTGAGGCTGGCTTTGAACTCATTATGTAGCCCAGGCTGACCTCAAACTTGTGGGTGCTGGGACTGCAGGCGTATGTCACCATCCCCTACTTAACAGTACTTTCAAGCTTATCTTTAGGTTGTTTTTTTTTTTGAACTGGGATCGAACTCAGAACCTTGTGCTTGCAAGGTGGGCAGCGGCACCACTGATCTAAATCCCCGGCCCTTCAAGCTCATCTTTATTATCACTTCTTTCTTAATGGTACTTTTCCCAATTTCAACTAGATGTAGTTTTCTCTGAGTTGTCGGTGTTTATAGTATTTATGGATACTTTTATTTATTATGATGTACAGATATCTTACATTATTACTAATTTGCTTGGCTAACTGTTAAAAACAATTTGAGGTAACTTTTTGAGAGCATGGATTATTATAATCCAGCATTTCCTTTTATGTCTTATATATGGTAGAGATTGATAAATACTATTTAAGTCAAATTTCAAAAACTTGCTGCAGGAGAAGGTGGAATCTTCACTTTTGCCTTTTTATATGTTAGTTTTCTCATCTTTGAAAAGTTTAATGCTCATAGGATGCTTTGTGATCTTTTGTCTTTTTTTTTTTTTTTTGGTACCAGAGATCGAACTCAGGACCTTGTGCTTGCGAGGCAGGCGCCAGAACCACTGAGCTAAATCCATGGCCCAAAATTTTCAAGGACTTTTTTTTTTTTGGTACCAGGGATCGAACTCAGGTCCTTGCGTAGCAGGCAGCGAAACCACTGTGCTAAATCCCCGGCCCTGTGATCTTTTGTCAGTGGATGCTAACTACTGTTGTCCAAACAGTTTAAAATTTTCAATTAAAATAAGATTTCAATTATAAATATAGATATAAAATATCTTTAAAATGTGAATATACTTTGGGTTTTTTGATATTTTTCAGGAGAAGCATTTTTTTCACAAGGTGAATGAACGACTTTCGAAGCCTAATATTTTCATTCTAAATAATCGTTGGGATGCCTCTGCATCAGAGCCAGAATATATGGAAGATGTAAGTTATTTCTTTTCTTTTAAATTTTGAAATATAATCACATCTATTGTTTCCTGAGAAAAACAGTGTCCCTTAGAAAAGAGAAAATCATAAGAAGTGTACCTAAGCTTACTTGTGAAGAGAATATGATTATAAAATCCTGAAGTGGGCTTATTTTTTTATAGGTTTCTTTTCTTTCTTTTTTTAAGACAACATCTTGCTAAGTAGCTCAGGCTGGACTCAAACCTGTCACCTTCCTGCCTCAGCTTCCCAAATGTTGGTATAACAGGTTTATGCCATCTGCCTGGCATGAAATAGGTTTGTGATAGTAACCAAAGCAGTAAACTACTTTGAGGGAAAATTGTCTTATAAAAGTGCTATTAAACTTTTTGTTGTTGTATAATATACATAATGGTAAAATGCACACATAAATCATAAATGTTCAGCTCAGTGGAGTTTACAAATGTAACACACATATGTCAAGATCGAGATTAAAAAAAACCAGAAGATTCCCAGTAATCTGAATCCCCCCTTTGATCCCTTCCAGTTTCTGTCTTTCCTCCCAAGAATAACTGCTTATCATGACTCCCGACACCATAGATTATTTCTTCAGTTGTTCAGCTTTATGTAATGGAATCATAACTGCTTTTATGGCTGTCATCTTTTGCTCGACATTGTCATGTGCATCCATCTTGTGCATAGTTGTAGTCTGTCTCATTGGCATATGTTTTTATATCTGTATGCTTTATATCATGTGAATACTATAATCATTCTGCTAATGATGGACATTTGTTAAGTTACTATACAGTATTTAGCTATTGTGAATAATTTGGCAGAGTATGTTGTTTTATATGTCTTCCTGATGTGTATCTGTAGCATTTTTGTTGGATAGGGACATACACACCAGTGGGGCTCTGTGGGGTTTGAGTGATTGTGACTCCCAGGGGATACTTGGCAGTGTCTGAAGATACTTTTGGTTGTTAAAACTGGAATAGTTTGGTGCTGGCCTCCAGTGGTTAGAGCTGAGGATGCTGTTTCACATTCTGTAACTCAGCACAGCCCCTGAAAGATTTAGTGAACCCAAGTTGTCACTAACGCAGAGATCAATAGAACATGAGTATATATGTATGTGTGTAGAACTTTCAGAGTAAAGTGAGAAGACAACAGAATTAGGCTTCACGAATTGAGCTGAAGTCTTTAATGCTTAATGGAGATAAGCATACATAAGATTATGTGGTCAAATATCCAAGATGTGTATCTGCATTATTTGAAAATTAGCAAAATGTAGCATCTTTAAAGTCAGCCCCAAAGTTGTCTAAAAGTGCTTGATATGATCTTACATTTCTACAAGCTGATGAGGAGCTCCAGGTGATTTATAGCCTAACACTTTTTTTTAAATCTGGCATTTGATCTACAAGATAACTTTAATTTGCTTGATTCTCCTTTTTTTGATTTTATAGAAGTATAAGTTTATTGTAGAAAATTTAGAAAACAAAAGATATAAAAGAACCCTTTTCCATCACTGTTCCAGTGTTAATTTGCTTTCATTTTTTCCATTATTGGAATTTTGCTTGATATAAAGTTAACATCCTGTTATTATTTATTTTGTTTTGTTTTGTTTTGTTTTGTTTTTTGGTACCGGAGATCGAACTCGGGTCCTTTCGCTTGCACAGCAGGTGGTGAAACCACTGAGCTAAATCCTCAGCTATTATTTATTTTGAATGATACTCTAAATCATGGTCTCAGTTGTTGAATTATGAAATACCACCCACAAATTGTTCTTCTCCAGACAGTTCAGCATTTCTTTTTAGACACTGTAATGTGCCACCCTTAACCATAGAAGAGAGATCCATAATTATAGTATAAACACTAAAACAAAATATTGACATAATATACCTACTATGGGTAAATGCAACAACTGTACCTCTACCAACAATGGAACAGTATTCAACAGTAATAGCATAGAGTTCATAAGTAAAGATTCCTAGAGCTTAATAGTTATACTAGTAAGGATAAAGGGGCTGGTGAACCAGAGGATCAAAAGAGTAGAATTTGAAAAATTAAATCTGTGGAAGATGAAGAGAGAAAAGTGAAATAAAGTATCCTATTAAAGAATAAAGGGAAATTAATAGTAGTAGATAAAAGTAATAGAAAAGAACAAGCAAGAAAAAGAAAAAAGAAAAAACAGAACAAAAGAAAGAAAAAAAGAAAAAGGAGGAGAAAAAGAATGAGAGAAAAAAGGAGATAAAACTCCAAATTTCCCAAAACCAATGAAGGAAAAAAAAAATGGAGTTAATATGAAACGAAATTCTTTTTTTTAATAGCACAACATTTATTGGTACATTTCAGGCATACAAATGGTAACACTCATCATAGGGAATTTGCACCTGAACATGGTACATCCTGCCTCTTTTTTCCCATGCCCTCCCTACTCGCAAGCCCCCTCCCCTCCCTATGTACAAAAGCTTTGTTTCCATTTTTTCCTTCTATTTTTTCTTTGTTTTCTTGTCCTTTCCTTCCTTTCTCCCTCCCTCCTCCTTTGTTCCTCTTCCCATTTGAACATTTTCTTCCCATTTCCCAGTATCTATCATACATTTTAGTCCTTATTTCCACTTTCAGCACAATTCTTCTTTTTGAATGAATGGTTTCTTTGCAGGATCTGAAGTCTTGCAATCCAGCAAGTCAGGAGTTTTTCCACTTAGTTTTACAGTCTGTGGGTTTGTGAGGTGTCCCTGCTGCTCCAGACCAGATGCTCCTCTATCCATAAACCTCAGACTGGCAGCCGTCAAGGTGTGTCCTTGTTCATGTTGATAGGTAGGAAAGCAGTCAGACCACTGGTCTCTGCTTGATTTAGGCAGTGGCTGGGAGTTCAAGCAGACTGCTGGACTTAATGTCAGCATTTTCAGTTCCAACCGCCCCGAAAGCCACACTCACAAGGGCTGCTGTCTTACCATGGAGGGCAGGGGCCCATGTCCTAGCCTGAGTCTAAACTTATCAGGGGAGACTGTCTAACTGGGACCCTTACTGCGGCTCTCACCCAGTCACTGCGGGAGGGAGTAACACTGAAAACCCCGGAGTAGTTATTTTGTAGCTGTTCTGTGGCTCATTCTTAAATAGTTGACCCCTTCCCAAAACAACACCTGATAAACACACTCTGGCAGTGTGGCAGGTGCTGTAATGGCTTTCTTCTCCAAGTATAGCCTACTGTAAAGGAGTCACTTTTGGAGCAAAACCTCATGCTGTTTTTGTAGCTTACAATAGCCATGGGCTTTTCTTGGGGCTAACACTGCTGGCTCGTTGTGTTATTTCTTTCTCCCTGGAGCTGCCAACTCTGCAGGCTTATCTTCTCTCCCTGGGTGCTGGCCTCATCCAAGATCAGGTCATTTGGTTGCCCCATGCTGAGGAGAAACAAAATGCAGAGTGTGCTTGGAGTTGATGAGTGGCTGCGGCCAGAGCACAGAATATATGTGTATGTTACTGGCCAGGGACGAATGCCTTGGGGGCAGTTTCCTATTTTGCTCTTTCAATTATTTATATTTTGGATTTCTCATATAAGAGGAACTATGGAATATTTAAACTTGTGTGTCCGGCTTATTTCACTTAGCATTGTGGTCTCAAGATCCATCAGTTGTCCCACAAATTACTCAATTTTTTTTTTTCTTTTTTGAGACAGGGTCTTGCTATGTAGCCCAGGCTGGCCTCAAACTCCCAGCAATCCTCCTGCTTCAGCCTCCCATGTGGTGGGATTACAGGTGTGCACCACCATGCCTGACTTCAATCTTATTTTTTATGGCTGAATAATACTCTGTTGTTTATATACAATATACCACATCTTCTTTATCTGCTCATGTGTCTAAAGGCATATAGACCACTTCCATAATTCAGCTACTGTGAATTTTGCTACTATGAACTTGAGTGTCACTGTAATATGAGTTTAACTTTTTCTAAAAGATGACCCAGAACAGGAATAGCTGGGTTAAATGGAATTCCTATTTTTAGTTTTTTGAGGAATCTCCATACTGATTTCCACAGTGGTTATACTAGTTTATATTTCCACCAACAAGATAGAAGGGTTCCTTTCCTCCCACAATCTTGCCAGCATTTCTTGTTTTTTTTGAGTCCTTAGTGATAGCCATTCTTACTGGATTAAGATGGGATCTCAGTGGGTGGATAACCAGTTTTCCTAGTACCATTTGTTAAAAAGGTGTCTTTTCTCCCAATGTATGTTTTTGGTCCCTCTGTCAACAAGATAGCTGAATCTGCTTGGGGTAGTTTCTGCATCGTCAGTTCTGTTCTGTTGGTCAGTACATTTTTGTTCCAATACCATGCTGTTTTATTACTGTAGCTTTGTAGAATGACTTGAAATCTGGGATTGAAATGCCTCCTGCTCATTTGTCTTTTTGCTCAGGATTTCTTCGGCTATTCTAATTCTCATCTGGTTTCACATAAATTTTAGGTTTATTTTTTCTGTGGGATGAGTGCTATTGGTGTTTTGATTGGAATTACATTAAATCCATATGTCATTTTTTGGTAATATGTCCTTTTTTTTTTTTTTTTTTACTGGGGATCGAACTCAGGACCTTGCACTTGTGAGGCAGGCATGGTGCCACTGAACTAAATCACTGGTCCAATATGTCCATTTTGATGTTATCAGTTCTTTCTATCCAGGAGTAGAGGATGTCTTTCCATTTTCTAATGTCCTCTTTAATCTTTTCTTAAGGGTACTGTAGTTTTTGTTATAAAAGTTTTTCAGTTACTTGGTTAGATTAATTCCTAGTTACTTAATTTTTTGAATGAATTGAAAACATTCCATGAATGGAATTGTTTTCCTGATTTGTTTTTCTGTGGGTTATTGTTGCCATTCAGGAATGCTGTTGATTTTTGTGTTGGTTTTGTATTCTAAGACTTTGCTGAATTTGTTTACTTGTTCTAAGGCTTCTGATGGAGTTTTTCTGGGTCTTCTGTGTTAAGGATAATGTCATCTTGAATAAGGATTGCCTGATTTCTTCCTTTCCTATTCATATCCCTTTTCTTTCTCTTGTGTGATTATTCTGGCTAACGTTTTGAGTAGTGCTATGTTGAACATGAGCTGTGAGAGTGGTTGGCCTTGTCTTATTTCTGATTTCAGAGTGAATGCTTTTAGTTTTTCCCTATTGGTTTACTTACTTTACCTTTTTATTATATGTTTGTGATATAATACAAACATTTATTGAATTTTTCCCCATTTAGCAAATCTATTGTAGTGCTTATTTTGTGACTTTAAAGTATTAACAGATTAACTGCAGAAAATTTAGAAAATAGAAAAGCATAATAAGGAAGAAATAAAAGTGCCACCTATTTTTATGGGTGTTGCTTGTCTACCACTATTAATTTATATACCTATATACACATGATTTTTTTTGTGAAATAGTCAGATGCATCCTTAATACAGAATTGAGAAACTATTCCCATGGCATTAAGAATTAATATTTATCTGCAGTGCTTTGTAATGGTTGTGTAGTATTTGATCCATCAATTTTAAATAAATATTCAAAAGGAGAATCATTATGAGAAAAGAGATTTCCTGTCATCAAGTGTCAAGGTGCATTAATTAAAATTTCCTGAAAGGGGTAGGGGTGGTGGGAGGAGATGGGTAAAGGAAAGAATGGAAAGGAAAAATTATGAGAAAAGAAAAAAAAAATGGAAACGAAGTCTATGTAAATAGGGAAGGGTGGAGGGGTGAAAGGCGCACAGGTAATGGGGAAAAAATAAGAACCAAGATACATTGTGCACAGGTACAAGCACCCAATGATAAATGTAAATGCATTGTATACCTAAAATGTACCAATAAAAGAATTTAAGCAAAAAAAAAATTTCCTGGATTCTTTAAGTATATGGAAATTATTATACTGTCACTGTAAAGTTTAATATAGGTCTAAGGCTGTTGATTATAATTATGTACAGTATGTTTACATTTTTAGAATTCTCATATTCTTTGTAGGTACGCAGACAACACATGGAAAGATGTATGCATTTCTTGGTGGAGGAGCTCAAAGTTGTGGATCCTTTAGAAGCACGGAATCGTATCTTCTTTGTTTCAGCAAAGGAAGTTCTTAGCGCTAGAAAACACAAAATACAGGGGTTGCCAGAAGGTGGTATGTATTTTAGGTTTCTTTTTAAAATAAAATTTACGTTATAAAAACAGTAGCAAGCCAGCAATCTTATCTTGCTCTATACAGTAGTTCCCCACCTTCATCTGTGGTTTTAGTAACCAGTATTAAACTGTGGTCTGAAAACATTAAATGGAAAATTGCAGAAATAAACAATTCATGAGTTGTAAATCACTCACTGCTCTGAGTAGTGTGATGAAATCTCTCATTCCAGGTGTCGGGGATCCTTTTGTCCAATAGTTCCATGCTTTCTTCTTTGCCCAGCCATCTTAGTGGTCAGATGGCTGGAACTGTTGCTGGGGTGCTTGTATATAAGTAACCCTTATTTTAGTTTATAATGGCCCAGAGAACAGAACTTAGCAATGCTGGAAATTTGGATATGCCAAAGGGAAGCTGTAAAGTGCTTCCTTTTAAGTGAAAAGGTAAAAATGCCTCACTTGAAGAAAAAAAAAATATGTGCTGAGGTCACAAAGATCTATGAATATATATGCTCTATCTGTGAAAATTATGAAGAAAAGAAATTATGCTAGTATTTCCAGTCACATCTCCGACTTCAGAAGTTATGACCACAGTGCATGATAAATGCTTAGTTAAGATGGGAAAGGTATAAAATTTGTGTATGTATATTGTAGGAAAAGACTTACTATTTATAGGGTTCAGTACTATCTATAGTTTCAGGCATCCATGAGGGATCTTGGAATGTATTCCTCAAGGATAAGAGCACTATACTAGATTTTAAATTTTTTGCCTGTCTTACAGGTGGGGCACTTGCTGAAGGATTTCAGGCAAGGTTACAGGAGTTTCAGAATTTTGAACAAATTTTTGAGGTAGGAATTTTCTGAGTGTATTGGCTAATACAAAACACTTTCATTGGTTAGAGAGTGGTTGTAATCTTCATTTTCATTATCTGTCTTTGTCAGTAACCTCTGCTGTTATTTAGTGTAGTTACTGACACAGCAAGTGAAACAAGGAAAGGTTGAAGAAATGAAGTCCCTGCAAAGTGGATGATCTGTAAGAACTGAGAATTAAAGATTATTTCTTCTTTATTCCTTTACTTTATGTATTTATGTATAAATAAGAAACTGGTTTCTATTATTGCTTGTGTTGTACAGTGAATAAAAGTCTTTGTATTTGGTAATTTGGTGCAGTTGCTGTTGGAACAGATCATAGAGCAAAGTGAAAATCATCTTTTGTATCATAATACTCATAGAGCTAAATAGAACATGTTTAATGCCATTTGACATTTTATTACATTTCTAAACTGTATTGCCATTTGTTAACCCTTCTCATTTGATGCCAAATGTTGTGAACAAGAGAATGAATACAAAAATAAGATAGAGCTCTGGTACTTTAGGAAGCTACTAAAGTGGCTGAGTGGCTGATGTATGTGTAGCGTTAGAAGGGAGTATAATTTATTCTGTTGAAGAATAGTCATTTGATTATTCAGAGACATTAAGAACCATCCTGCATTTAACTGAAAAGTTCTAGATGTTAACCTTCTAAACTTTGTAGTTCTGCTTAGATTCCATATCATGTTCCTGTTAATCAACACAGAAACCTCATAATTAGAAAAACTTCCATTTGTAATTATTCCTGCTTCTAGATTGTAACTGCTTTAATCGGGATTTGAACATTGAAAATACTTGGAAGACTTTTTTTTTTTTTTTAAGGTTCTAGGGATTGAACCCAGGGCCCTGTGCATGCTAGGCAAGTGCTCTACTTTTGAGCTATATTCCCATGCCAAGAATTGGAAGTTAAGTGGAGTAAAAGGAGTCAAGAAAATCAGTATTATTCTTGCATGTATGTATGTGTTGGGTTGGGGGGGTTGGACTAAGCTACATCCCCAACCCTTTTTAAAATTTTCCCAGGCATGGTGCTGCATGCCTGTAATCCTAGCACACAGGAGGCTGAGGCAGGAGAATTGTCATGACTTTGAGGCTAGCCTAGGATACACAGTGAGTTCAATACCAGCCTAGACTATATAGTAAGACCCTGTCCCAGAAGACTAAAAGAAAGAAAATATTGAGACAAGGTTTCGCTAAGTCCCCCTGGCTGGGGTGGAACTTGTGATTCTTTTGCCTCAGCCTCCCAGAATGCTGGGATTACAGATGTGCACTGCCATCTCCGGATTTTCTGGCTGTTTTTAATCTACATTTGGATAGACATTATTGGAAAGACAAGTTAGAAATCCAAATTTCTTTGCCCAAATATTTCTCACTATCTATTTTTAATAGTTTTGGTTATATGATTGGAAAGAGGTATATAAAGTTACTTCTAAAATATCAGTGGATTTGTTGTAAAGGGCAATTTTGGGGTGCTTGGTGAAATACATAGGTGGGCTGTGTTAAGTAGTAATATTGTCCCAGTGGTAAAGGTTGCTTAGCCCAAGAGTTCAAGGCCAACCTGGGCAACTTTAAAGCGTATGTGTGTGTGTGTGTGTGTGTGTGTGTATAAATATATGTATGCAGGGCCGGGGATTTAGCTTAGTGGTTTCGCTGCCTGCTGCACAAGCCCAAGAACCCGAGTTCAATCGCTGATACCAAAAAAAAATAAATAAATATATGTATGTATACATGCACATATATACATATGCAAGTTAATATGGTGAATGTTTAAATTTTTAAAATTTACAATAAAAGACACATTGCCAGTAAAATACCCAGAATACCTTGCCACACTTGGAATAACTTATTCCATTGTTCTTGGCAATGTATCTTTTATTAGATAAGTTTATTTACTTATTTATTTTTGAGACAGGGTCTCACTGTGTAGTTCAGACTGGCCCTGAGCTCACTATGTTGCCCAGGCTTGCCTCGAACTTGTGGTGATCCTCCTGCCTCAGCCTCCCAAGTGCTAGGACTACAGGTGTTGCCACCACGCTGGGCTTGGATAAGTTTATTTTAAAAATTTAAACATTCACTATTATTTTTGATCACTCTTTTATGTGTATATGTATGTATTTATAAGTGTAAAAAAATGTGTGGATGTGTGTGGTGAGAGAAAGATAAATGAGGCTGAAGCCAGGCATAGTGGCACACCCCTCTAATCCCAGCAGTCTAGAAGCTGAGACAGGATCTCTGAGTTCGAGGTCACCCTGGAATATATAGTGAGACCCTGTCTCAAAAATCAAAATAAAAACAAAACAAATGAGGCTGAATATTAACATTTGGTACATCTAGCTAAAAAGTATATACATTAGTGTTCTTTTTTGTACTTTCCTGTCAGTTTAAAATACACTGAAATTATAAGTTTGGAGTAGTGAATTGTATATTGTTTGTGTTTGTGGGGTCTGTCATCAAGGGGACTTGACAGGTTCATTGGTTTTATGTTTTAAATATATTAATAGCTAAGAATGTGTAACTGCATGATTTAAATATCAGCCAGCTGCTCTAGATGTCATAGAAAATCAAAAAACTCGTAATAGGGACACAAATGTTATATTGGTTCTCAATGATTAATGAGTTTTATGTAGCGTATAGAATACTCTGACAAGATGGAAATTTAATTTTCTATAGTATTTTAAATTTCTCTGAATATTAGTTTCTGATAAAATAAATATGGGAACTTTGTGGAGAATAGCATATTAGTGGGTAAGGACTTTTCTCTGGGTGCCTCTTACCATCCTGCAGATGAATGGGAACACCAGTCAATGTATAATACTTTTTAATTAGAAAAAGATTGTATCTTTATGTTCTTTCATCATTATATGTTTTTGAAATAAGTAACATACTGTCTAATAACTTTCAGAGATCTTTTCATTTCTGTCGAGTCTAGCTCTAACACTGTGCTGTTACCTATGAATTTGAATCTTCATTGCTGATATCTAGACCTACTTCGTCGAGGAACGTACTTTCTTTTAACCTTTTTTCTTTTAAAATTGTTTTTATGCTTTTATTATAATTTTGTGGAGATTAATTTGGCACTTTTTTTTTTTTTGCTACTGGGGCTCGAACTCAGGACCTTGCACTTGCCAGGCAGGTGCGGTGCTGCTGAGGTACATCCCCAGCCCTAATATGGCACTTTTATGAGTCACAGTTATTTAGAATATAATCAAAGCTGTGATTTGGTTATTAGAAGATGAGTAGTTTACAGCTCAGATGTTTACTGGAGGGTAACTACTGGTGGTTTTAAAGAAGGAAGCATCCTGGAATGAATGGGAATACCATGGCTTCCTGTGAAGATTTGTGAGAACTGTCACCATGGGCATAAGTGAAGGTAGTTAATGCAAGAAATGAACAGTTCCAGAGTTGTCTTTACAAGCTGTTGACTAAATGGGCCATGTACCTAAGGAAATTAATTTTGTTTTCTGTACTTTAAACAAAATACTGAAGAGGGGAGCTGACATGTCAAAAGATTATAGTAGACCTTTTTTCTGAATGAAATGCACAAATAAGTTTAGAGATAGAAATTTAAGCATCAGTTATAAATAGTATATTTAATGAGCATGTAACATGCTACATAATAATTTCAGGATAACTAGAGTATTAATGAATACCTTTTAAAGATTGAATGCTACTTTTTTTTTGGTACTGGAGATTGAACTTGGGTCTTTGCACCTGAAATGCTACTTTTTTTTTTTAGAAAAGAGGGAAAGTAGTGAGCTTTAGGAATTAACAGTTTATACTAGGTAAACAATAAAGAGGATCAAGAAGATAGTCATAACATTGGAAAGTTTGAGTGTAGTTTGATACTGATGTGACCCAGGCTAGCATTTCTTAGGTTGTTCAAAGACTGGATAGCATTTCTCTGTAAACACTTGTTTTTAAATGTTACATCAGTTCAGAATTTGTTTTTTTTAATGAAGTAAGAATGGAATGAGGCCAATCACATAACAGTTTTGTGAATTTTGAATGATGAATCACAGTAAAAAAGTATTTAGATAATAAATGGTATTGCAAGCTAGGCGTGGTGGCACATGTCTGTAATCTGAGCTCTGGGGCGGCTGAGGCAGGAGGATCACCTTGAGTTTCAGGCCAGCCTGGCCTATATAATGAGCTCAAGGCCAGTGTGAACTACAGAGCGAGACCCTGTCTCAAACCAAAAAACAAACAAATAGTATTGCATATGTCAAAAACTGAAAAATTGTACAAAATAAATGTCTATCACCATATTCAGTAAATTCTGATATATTCTATTAAACACTGGTTATGAAACGCTTAGTTGATTTCTACTGTTGATGGGTTGTGAGTTGCAGTTAGCTGAAAGTGAAACTGATGAGTTAGGGTATCATTAGGCCTGTGTGCACCCACTGTAGTCTATTGATGAAAAAAAGTTATCTTTAAAATAACTGCAGATATTTTCCTGTGAATGATTTAAAATATTATTTAAGTTGTTCATTGCTAAAGATTATTTTTTAAGTTAGTCACACTTTATAGAAAGCTGTTTTAGTAGCCTGATGTAAAGCATCATATCATTCAGGTAATTTTCTTAATAGGAATTCTAATTCACAACTCATTGAAGAACTTTATTAGGTTATCTGTTACAAGTGTGAGAAAAATAAGATAGATGAACTCAAATTGGCTTAACAGGGATCAGAATAGGTTAATGGGGGAAACCTTTTTAACATTAAATATGGTGCCATTTATTTATTTATTTATTGACTTATTTATTTATGAATTTAAAATTTATTTTCCAAAGCAGAGCACTTTTGAGTATAAAAGTCAGCACTAACTATCAGAAAACCCATGCTTTCCTTTATTGAAAGAGTTTGGTCCAGCTGATGTTGGTGTATCCCTGCATTAAAAGAAAGGATATTTATTTAAAATGTTATAGTCAAACCATTCCACATTACTGTGTAAAAATACACAAAGACATAAACTTGCTGTAAAAGCCTCCTTTACTTTTGAATCTTAATTTTTTTAGCCTTTGTAATTTTAAGTTGTGTTTACTGTGTTTTTTTCCTATCCTTATTTCTATTTTGGTTTAAGTTAAAATCAGCAAGTTTTTGTGTTTAAATTCCTGAAAATGTTGGGATGGAATTACAGTAATGTGTTATGGCTTGGGCCCCTCGCAGGAGTGTATCTCGCAGTCAGCAGTGAAAACAAAGTTTGAACAGCACACTGTCAGAGCTAAGCAGATACTAGACACTGTGAAAAACATAGTGGATTCAATAAACGTGGCAGCAGCAGAAACAAGGTATGAGTTCACTTTATTGCAACATGAAAATGTTAGTTGTTTTGTGTTAGACTTTTAACCCCATGGTTTTAAGTTGTACTATAAATACTTTCCACTAAAATCAGTCCTGTGGATTTAATTGATGTCTACTGTGTATCTTTAAATGAATATTTGAAAATACAGGTATTTATTCTGTAACTCTTAATACATCATTTACATCCCATAAATCTCAGTATTCCTGTGTACAAGTTATGATTTAAAATGTTTGTAGATTTAAAATGTCTTTAAAGCAGTGGAAGAACCATTTCTTCAAGCAGAATTTTATGAAGAATTCCAAATCAGGTGATCCTCTGATGCAGTCAACCCATGACCCCTCTTTTTTTTTTTTTAAGTTGGAAATGAATACCTAGCAGTATCAACAGTATTGATGCAAAACACAGTTCTAATAAACTTGGTACACTAGAAATAAAAATCAGGACATTATTAGATGTGACACAACTAATGATGTAAATCCTCAGTTGGACCTTTAATAGATATAAGCCAGTTCAAAGAAACAGAGCACCAAAGACTATATCCAAGATAAGATAAAACTGAAATTATAAATGTATTTCCTTTTGCTGGGAATACCCCATATCCCACATAAGTCTGTTGGTAGATTTTAGAACCATCTCAGGAATACATTAAGTACAAAAGTAGGGAAATGAGTATGCTTGCTACATGACTTGCTCCCCCATTTGACCCCCATTTAATCAATATTACCTGGGTGACTGTACTTGTTAAAAAAAAAATAGGGAAATGCCAGCCTATAGAACATAAGGCTGTGAACCCTGAGACTGATCTCAACCCCAGTGCAGTATAGTATCTACATACACTTTTTGTGTTGCCATAGAAGTCCCTTCCAGCTTGATTGCTTTATTATAGTACCCAAAATTTAGCCTAGCAGATCTTACTAGTTTTAAAAAATACAAGACAGTACAGGACATTGAACTAAATACAGCACAAGGATGTGATTTGAGGATAGTTTGTATGATACAATATCTTGGAAACTCTGAGCTAAATATCTTCTTAAAAAGAATCTCAAGTTTTTGTTTTCCTCTGTCATTCAGGGATCAACGAACTTTCTATGAAGGCCCAGATAATATGATAGGCCTTGTGGGCCTTACTATTTCTGTTGTATTGAGTCAGTTTCACAGTTTTAGAACAAAAGTAGTCCTATATAGAACTGAATGAGTGCAGCAGTGTTCCAAGAAAGCTGCAGTAAAAACTGGCTCGTGGCTGGATTTGGCTTATCCTTTGCTGACACTTACTTATTAACTGAAGTCACTGTTGAGTTCTATTTTGACTGTTCATATTTGTGAAGTGTTTGGAGACTTAGAATGTTTATTGAGCCTCTGGCTGTATCAGGTACCAAGCTGGCAAAGGGACAGTGTAGTTTACATCAAATCATCTATATAGAGTATTTTATAAGTGAAATAAAATAAGAATAATAATTGAATCCTTTCAGAGGTCAAAATGCAAGATTTTTTTTTTTTTCTTGTGCCATGCTAATAGATAGTTCAATACATAAAAAGAGTGTCTTTGCCCAGGCCAGGGATTTAGCTCAGTGGTTCTGCTGCCTGCCTTGCAAGCACAAGGTCCCAAGTTCGATCCCCAGTACCAAAAAACAAAAAGAATGTCCTTTCTTAATTGCCTTGGGACTTTGATATACTGAAGTACTGATTACTCTTTATCATATAATAGGGTTTATTCAATGGAAGAGAGAGAAGATCAAATTGATAGACTGGACTTTATTCGAAATCAGATGAATCTTTTAACACTGGAAGTTAAGAAAAAAATCAAGGAAGTTACTGAGGAGGTGGCAAACAAGGTAACAACTTTATGATCACAATATCTGGAAATGGAAATGTTTTTTAATAATGCTAAAATAGTTATCCCTTACCTTAAAGGAATATATTAGTTTTTCTTGATTTGATTTTTTCAGTAGTTTATAATCTTTTTAAAAAATGTTAAACTCTGATTTTTAAAATATTTCCAGGTTTCATGTGCAATGACAGATGAAATCTGTCGGCTGTCTGTTTTGGTTGATGAATTTTGTTCTGAGTTTCATCCTATTCCAAGTGTATTGAAAGTATATAAAAGCGTAAGTTAAAGTGTTCTTAAAAAGTTATTCTGAGATGGTTTCCATACCTTATTCTTTAGTCTTACTTAGTGGTTTGGCCATTTCTGTGTCACATTGGCAATCTTGTGCACTGGTAGTACATGTACACTCTCTTGTATATGAACTATGCAGAGGGCTGGGGGTGTGACTTGGTGGGAATACATGCTTAGCATACCTGTGTGAAGCCCTGGGTTCAGTCTGCAGCACCAAAAACCAAACAAAAACAACCAAAATTTATCCTCTAAATGGAATTAGGATCATTTTAGTATTTGGTATATTTCAGAAGTCTTTAAAAATCTACATATTTTCTGGAGAAAAAATAATGTGAACATTTACTGTTGGTAACAGGAGTTAAATAAACACATAGAAGATGGTATGGGAAGAAATTTGGCTGATCGGTGTACCAAGGAAGTCAATGCCTCAATGCTTCAATCCCAGCAGGAAATTATTGGTAATATTTATGTCTATAAGATCATGTATAGTTTTTTTCTTTATTGGTAAAGGGTTTACTTTTCTTTGGATATTTTATAGAAGGGAAAACATATATGATTATTTCTTATAATAAATTAATTTTATTCTTTCCAGAAAATTTGAAGCCATTGCTTCCAGCTGATATGCAGAATAAACTTCATACATTGATCCCTTGCAAGAAGTTTGATCTTAGTTATGACCTAAATTGCCATAAGTTATGTTCAGATTTTCAAGAAGATATTGTATTTCGTTTTTCCCTGGGCTGGTCATCCCTTGTTTATCGATTCTTGGGCCCCACAAATGCTCAGAGGGTGCTACTTGGATTATCAGAGCCCATCTTTCAGGTATGTATCTTTGATTTTTACCAGTTCAGATTCTCTGTATTTGGTTATGCAGTTTTCTTTAATAAAACTAGCTTCAAATCTGCATACCTAGAAGATAATAGCCATCTCATAAAGCCATTGTTGGGTATACTATACATAAGAGAAAGCCAATCCTTATTTTCATCCAGTACTGGTGTAGATGGTTCTGCATTCACTTTTGAAACTTTTTTTTTCTTTATTTTGTTAAAGTTTTAGTAGTGCATGCCTGTAATCCCAGCTATGTGGGAGATTGGGGCAGGAAGATTTCAAGTTTGAAGTTAGCCTGGGAATAAAGTGAGACCCCCATCTCAAAAGAAAGTTTTTGTTTTAAGAGTTCAAATAAATTGGATATGTAAGGATGTTAAGAAATGCTTAAAAAAAAGAAAAGCTTTAAAATTTATCTTATTTTTGGCTTTTACAGTTTTTTGGGTTTTGGCAATTAAACCCAGGGCCTTGCACATGCTAGGCAAGTGCTTTACCACTGAGCACATTCAGGCTCTTTTTTCTTTCTTTTTTAGGGCAGGGTCTTGCTGTGTAGCCCAGGCTGACCTTGAATTTATAGCAGTCCTCTGCCTAGCCTCCCTAGTGTTGGGATTACTGTACAGACATGCCACCACGCCTGGCCTAGCCCTGTTTTCTAAATTTCATTTTGAGATAAGGTCTTACTAAGTTTCCCTGGTTGGCCTTGAACTCTGGCTTTTCCAGCTTTTCCCGTGTTTGGTTGCTGGGGTTGTAAACATGTGTCACACTTGGCTAAACTTTTTTTTTTTTTGGTACTGGGGATCGAACTCGGGTCCTTGCACTTGTGCAGCAGGTGGTGAAACCACTGAGCTAAATCCCCGGCCCTAAACTTTATTGTTTTAGTAATTTTTGAGAAAATGTCTGGAGTTGTAAACCCATCACCATAACTGAATTTCAGGACATTTTCTATTACCTCAAAAGGATCTTTTATACCCATTTGTAGTGAATTATCATTCCTACCTTCAGCCCCACCACTAATTGCCTTCTGTCAGTAGGGATTTGCCTTTTCTGGGTATTCCTTAAATGGAATCATATAAGAAATGACCTTATCTGATTGGTTTATTTTGCTTATGTTTTCAAGCTTTACCATCATGGTGTCAGGATTATAGTAAGTGTCAGTATTTCATTGCTGCTGGTGGCCAAGTAATGTTCTATAATAGATATAACACATTTATCCATTTAGCAGTTGATAGTACTACTAGTTAGTACTTCGGGGCCAGTGTGAAAAATACTGCTGTGAACCATGCATATGTATTTTTCTGTTGAAATGTGTTTTCATTTCTTTAAAAAATATAAATAGGAGTGAATTGCGGGACTCTATAGTAGGTCATATTAACTTTCTGAGGCACTGCTACGCTGTTTTCCAAAATGATTGCACCATTTTACATTCCCTCCAGAATTGTATGAAGCTTCCAGTTTCTCAGTGCACTTGCAATACCTTTATTGTCCTTTATTCTAGTGGTGTGAAGTGGTAGCTCATGGTAGCTTTGATTTCCATTTCCCTAATGAGTAATGATTTTGAACATCTTTTCATGTGCTTATTATCCATTCATGTACCTCTTTTTATGAAGTATCTGTTTGTATCTTTTACTCATTTTTTTAATTATATTTTTTGGCTTCTATTGAGTTTTAGGAATTCTTCATATATTTTGGGTACAAGTCCTTTATCAAATATGTAACTTCCAAATATATAGTTTCAGTTTGTGGCTTTTAACTTTTTTAACGTATTTTGCATTTTAAAGGTTTTTGTTTTGAAGTCCAACATTTTTTATTTAAATGACTATGCTTTTGATGATTGGTTTGTTTTTGTTCTTTTGGTGTTGAGCATATACCTCTAAGCTGTATCCCCAGCCCATTTATTTTAAGAATTGCAGTTTAATTTTTGAGAATTACTGATACAGGTAGACTCCATGGTATATTATGAAAATGTATTATTGATGATATCATTGGTCCATGTTAGAGAAACTCATTTTCTGTTCATTTTTTTTTTCCTTATGTATTTGTAGTAGATGTCTTATTTGGAGTTGTTTTTTCATACACTTGCTGCTGATTTTTAAAGAAATACAAAAGTAATTTTATAAAAGTAATTATCTCACTTAAACTTATTTTACTATAATACTTCCCTCACCTGAATTTATCAGCTCCCTAGATCTTTAGCTTCAACTCCCACTGCACCTACTAATCCAGCAACGCCAGATAACGCATCACAGGAAGAACTCATGGTTACTTTAATAACAGGATTAGCTTCTCTTACATCAAGGACTTCTATGGGCATCATAGTTGTTGGAGGAGTGGTAAGAAACATTTTTAGCATAATTGATTTTGTTTGTTTTGTTTCTTTGGTCCGTGCATTAACTGCTTGAACCCCACATTTCAAGGACACTTCACTTTTATTCTGTATCATGATTATGTGCTTGTTATTGCTTTGATTCAATTGCAGTTATCAGGAGCTTTAAAATCTTTGTTTCTCTATATAGTTTAGGGTGGTCTTGAGCTCACTATGTAGCCCAGGCCAACCGTGAACTTGAACTTACTGTGATCCTCCTGCTTCAGTTTTTTTTTTTTTTGAGACAGGGTCTCACTGTGTAGTTCAGGCTGGGCTTGAACTCACTACGTAGCCCAAGCCGGACTGAACTCTCAGTGATCCTCCAGCCTCAGCCTCCCTAGTGCTAGGGTTACAGACATGTACCACCACACCCGGCAGTGCCTTAGCTTGCTTGAGCCCTAAGATCACTAGCGTGTGCCACCATGGGCAGCTCTAATTGAAATTGTCACAAAGCTGTCTGTTAGATCATGAAGAAAGGTGTATTTACTTCTGTTTCCAAGATCTATAAAGCAGTATGAAAATCTACAGGCTAAAAGTAGTGAAGAATTTCTCAAATCTTATTGTAAATTTAAATATATCCAACTATCTGGGTTTTGATTTGTTTTGGGCTATTTTTTGGCATTGCTGGGGATTGAACACAGGGCCTGGGACAAACAGGCACTTTACCACTGAACTGTCTCCTCAGCCCTGTTGGTTTTGAAACAATACTTCCTCTTTTCACACCACAGCACACAAAGAAATGATATTTATACATTATAAGAACAAGAAAGGTCTGATAGGGCTGGGATTGTGCTTAGTGGTAGAGTGCTTGTCTAATGTGCAGGGCCCTGGGAACCACAAAAAGAATGAGGGAGGGAGAGAGCAGAGGTGGGGGGAGGTGGTCTAAATACAAAGGGAACCTGTCCTAAAGTATTAAAGGTTATTTTTAGTACTTTTTTTTTTCTTTCCAAGATGAGGCCTTGCTCTACAGTGTGGGCTGGCCTTGAAGTCACTATATAGTCCTGCATCAACCTACGCAACGCTGGTATTATATATAGTAGGTATATATACCATGCGCAGCTTAATAATAGTTCTTAATTGTTGAAAATTTTGAGATACATTGAACCAATTTATCAAATCTGACAAATTATAAAAGTTTTTTGTGGTATTTATGTGCTGATCACTTTTCCATGTGATTGACTTTCAGTTAACATCACATTTTCTCATGGAGAAATATGCATTTTTAGAAAATGGATCTGACTGAAATATAGGTAGTGAGCTTGTAATATATTCCCCCAGCTAGTATTTTTCTTCTCAGAGTAAGCTGTGACTTTATCTTCCAGATTTGGAAAGCTATAGGTTGGAAACTTGTGTCTGTTTCATTAAGTATGTATGGAGCACTGTATCTTTATGAAAGGCTGACCTGGACCACCCGTGCCAAAGAGAGAGCCTTCAAACAGCAGTTTGTGAACTATGCAACTGAGAAACTGCAGATGATTGTTAGCTTCACAAGTGCAAACTGCAGCCACCAAGTACAACAGTAAGTTGAAAGATGCATTTTTTATTTTTTAAAAAAAGTTCTTTGAAGTACGGCATACCTGCAGGTAATGAACACATTTTGAATCATCACTGAGGTGAAATAGAATAAGTCAAATGTCACTTCTTGCCTTCTCCCAGCCACTATTATCCTTATTCTCCTGATAAGTTAGATTTGCACATTTTGTAATTAGCATGTAAGAACTTTGTCAGCAGACCTGTCCTTGGAGTAGTTTGGCTTCTTAATTAGAAGACTAAAGACTGAATGGATTTTTAGCATTTACCAAGTGGGCTTAGTGCTGGGAGGACTCCTGATTTTATGATAAACTTAATTTTCTCTCATAGTCCAGATTTATAAGCCTAAAGATACTATTTTTTTCTATATCGAGAGAATTGTGTTATATTAAATACCTATGTCTGCCTAATTTGTTTTTATACATCTTAGATACTTGTTTTATTGATTTAGTGAAAGTATATTGAACTCCACTTAAGTCAAGGCACAATGTTTTTGTATTTGAATACAGTTGTGAGCAGAATTTTAAAGCTCCTGATAATTTCCTAGAAGAGAGGTAGCATATGAAATTTGATTGTATAAGAATAGGAAGATCAGGAAGAGAAAAAAATTGAAATGAAAAGAAGGTAGAGAGGAAGGGAATGTGTTTAAGAACATGAAGAGAAAATTTCAGTGTGGCAGATGTGTTTTTTTGTTTGTTTGCCTTGTTTTTTTCTTCTTTTTTGGCACCGGGGATCAAACTCTGGGCCTTGCTCTTGCAAGGCAGGTGCAGGAACCACTGAGCTAAATCCCCGCCAAAAGCTGATTTTTTTTTTTGGTACTAGGATTTGAACTCAGGTCCTTGAACTTGCAAGGCAGGCAGCAGAACCACTGAGGTAAATCCCTGGTTATTTGCTTTGTTTTTGAGATAGGGTTTCAGTATGTAGCTAAGGCTGGCCTTGAATCACTATGTAGCCCAAGCTGGCCTCAAACTCACAGTGATCCTCTTGTCTCAGCCTCCTGAGTGCTAGGATTACGTATGTGTCAGTATGTGTCAACATGCCTGGCGGCAGATGTGTATTTAGTGTAAACCTTGTGTAATTTGAGTGTAAACCTATCACAAGGACCGGGCTCTGTCTGTGTGTATAGGGGTTAGGGTTTGGATGGTTAGGAATTCTGGAAGTGATGCCATAAATAACTTAGCTCTAGAACAGAAAACTTTATGGAAACAAAGTCTATGTAAATAGGGAAGGGTGGAGGGGGTAAAGGGCGCATAGGTAGTGGTGAAAAAATAAGAACCAAGGTACATCATGTACAGGTATAAACACCCAATGATAAATGTAAACTTATTGTATACCTAAAATGTACCAATAAAAGAATTTAAGCAAAAAAAAAAAAGAAAACTTTGCATTGATGTGACATAAAGAATGGAGACTAAGCAGATAGGAATTACAAAAAGGTTAAACTATTTCAGACATAAGGTCAAATCCTTAGCTAATGTAGTTACAGCTATAGAAAACAGAAACAAGACCACAGATTTGAGGAACTTGTTTATCCATCCATTCATTCACTAAATATTTTGTGAGCTCCTATTTTAAATGACAGTTTTAATTTATTTGTATGAAGAACATTTCTCTAATGAAGATACCTGGACCTTCAAAAGAAATAAGCTGAGATTCATATAAATAAAAACAAATTAATGTAGCTTTCCATTCTTTTGATTATCAAACATTTACTAATTGCTTGTCCTGTGGTAATTATGTTGGGGCTTATGGGAAGTAAAAAGTTGAAGGTAACTTGATATTCTGTCTTAAAAACTGTACATTCTCACAGAGGCAGTCTTCAATAATTACCCAAAATACAGTAGGTAAATGTTAATTGAATATTTAATAAAAAGAATGAAACATGCTATATTTGTCTGCCTTCAGGGTTTGGTGGAGGGAAGTAAATGGAGGGTAAAAGAGCACAGCAAAGATGAAGATGAACAGAACAGTTGCATAGAGAAATTAATAAGTCAACTGTGTTCTGGCAGGACTCATGTGCCAGATATGCTCCTCTGTAAAAGTAACAAGCATTGTGTTTGCTAAAGCTGTATGTTAACTAGCACTTAAATTAGATATAACACATGATTAAATCGCTGTGATTTGAAGTATTTTTGCCTACTTCACAAAAGTTCTTAGAATTTTTTTAATTTCATGTTTTTAATGGGCTAGGGAAAAGAGTAAAATTTATTGTGCTTATGAAGAAAGACACCCTTCTGGCTTTTCATAGTTTACTGTATCTGTATTCACAGCCATCTAGCAGAGGTAATACTGTCTCTTGAGGCCAGATGAAATTAGGCGTACATTCATGTTTAGCTTACCAGTGCTGTACCCTCCCTCATATCACTCTTTGCAGGGTACTTTGACTCTTTAGCACATAGATTTTTTTCAAAATTTTTCTCCTTTTTATTAAAGCTTGACATTGAAGTTTACTCATTTTAGAAGGCATTCATGACTTTTTATTTTCTTTTTCAGGGAAATGGCTACCACTTTTGCTCGCCTGTGCCAACAGGTTGATACTACTCAAAGGCATCTGGAAGAAGAAATTGCTAGATTGTCCAAAGAAATAGATCAATTGGAAAAAATACAAAACAATTCAAAGCTTTTAAGGTATTTAAAACCTTTTTCCTAAATAATGTCAACATTTACTGGTCTTATTATTAAATATAATTATGTAAAATTGCTAATGAATTTATATTGGAACACTAATTGTTAAATTATGATCTTTCATATTTCTGTTTTGCAATTTCAGTGAAAACTAATCTTAAGAGAATGAATTCAAAGAATTATATAGATCTAAATTTAACTCTTTTAGGATAAATTAGTCCCCTCTCCAGACAGAAGTTCTGTAATTTAGTTTTTAGACTATGTTGAAGACCATAACTTCTGTTCTTATTGGGGACTATTGGAAGTGCTTAAATTTGAAACAAAAAAAGTAAGCAAGATTTTATGATAAAAATGTGGATTTCCTGGTTAATATGGATTTATGGATTCTTTAAGATTTAATAAAATTTGCTTTTGGGTACATGACTGGAAGTATCATCAAAAATTCTATACTTGGCTGTTCTTTCAGGTTTCTTACCCATTAAGCTGACCTGTCAGCATGTCTGGGAAAATCATTTGGTAAAATTGTCCATGTAAGGGCAGCTTAACCAGTATTTTATTTCTATTTGTTTATTTTTTGAGACAGGGTCTTGCTCTTTAGTTCAGGCTGGCTTTGAATTCACTGTGTAGCCTAGGCTGGCCTTGAAGTCATGGCAATCCTCCTGCCTCAGCCTCCCAAGTTCTGGGATTATTACAAGCATGTGTCACCATGCCTGGCAGTAGCCAGTATTTTTAGCCATTTCTCTTTTTTTTTGGTACTGGGGATCGAATTCAGGTCCTTCCACTTGCAGGGCAGGCGGCAGAACCACTGAGCTAAATCCCCGGCCCTAGCCAGTATTTTTAAATTGGAGGCACTGTCTTTGTGACCTGAAAGCTGGGGTCATGTATTGGACTGTGTAATGCTTTGGTCAACGATGAACTGCATATATGGTAGTGGTTCCATAATATTATGAAGGTGAAGAATTTTTATCACTAGGCATCATAAGGTCATAGTATAACACATTATGTTTGCTTAGTTATACAAATATTTATTATTCTGTTATAGTTACCTACAGTATTTAGTACAGTAGATTGCTGTACAAGTTTTTAACCTAGTAGCATTAGGCTGCACCATGATCACCTAGGTGTGTAGTAGGTTGTAACATATAGGTTTGTGTATGTATACTATATGATCACATTACAGTGAAATCAACCAGTGATATATGAGTGGCTCTTAGAAGGTATCGTGGTCATTAAGCAAAGTATGGCTATGTTTGGAATGTCCATGCTTACTAGATTAGGCTTAACCATTTGTATTAGTTAACTTGCCTAACACTCCAGGAGAGTTGCCTTAAGTCCAATGGTGTTATAGTATATGTGCATTTAATGTGACCCAACCATATGTATGCAGAGACAAAACGAGATTCCCCCCCTCTCCAAAGTGGAGAGAGCACCCACTCTGAGCATCTACCCTGGCATAGTAAGAGAATGGGAGCCACAAATCTGTTTCTGTTAGGTTTAGTTTCAGTTTTCCATTCTTATTGTAGACAGCTTAACTGCATCAAGTATGATCTAGTATTGAAAAATGTTTTGTTATCCTATAACCCATGAATATCTGCCAGCTTCTCTGCATATACATAAAGTGATTTATTGAGGGCTTCATGCTTCACTCAGTTTTCAGACTTCGTGTGACTTAACATATAATTCCCATGGAAGATGATAAGACTCCATTGTCTGTTATGCTTTGGTTCTTTTTCTTTTTTTTTTTTTTTTTGTACTGGGGATTGAACTTGGGTCCTTGCGCTTGCACAGCAGGTGATGAAACCACTGAGCTAAATCCCCGGCCCTGGTTCTTTTTCTTTATTAAAGCTTTTGTCTTTTTATGTTTAACTTTTTAGTTCCTGTACTTTTAGGTCTGTTTACTGCAAAGCTGCTGTAGCACACAATATGAATACTCTGAAAAGGATTGGTAATAGTCAAACCTGAGTTCCAGTAAAATTTAACAGCAAGCTGGCTGTAGAGTTTTGCATTTTAAGATTGGATAGAATGCATTTTTTGTTGTTGACTTTTATGATAATGATTGGTATTTTCTTTTCTTTTTAAATTAGAAATAAAGCCGTTCAACTTGAAAATGAGCTGGAGAATTTTACTAAGCAGTTTCTGTGTTAAAGCAATGAAGAATCTCAACAATAGAGATTGCTCTGATGACCATGATAGGTGGAAAGGGAACTTGGAAGATGGGGACAGTTGTTATTTTTATGAAATGACTTCAAGATGAATTACACTAACTGTACTAAATAGCAAATCCCTGTGAAGATTCTGGTAATTATTCAGGCTGTTTGCATTTCTGAAGAGAGTTATGGTAGGTCCTTTGTTTTAATTTTGGGTTTAAAAAAAAGAGACAAAATTGTTTGTGTTAACAATGAATTAGTTAAAAGCAATAGAACCAACTGTGTGACCCCTGAGGGGGCGGGTCCTTGAGCTCTTCATTAGGGCTTGCTTTATTTCTGATTCTGAAAAACTCTGCTTCCTGGCATCCAGGAGTTGGAGAGTGATCCTTTCATCTTTTTTCTCAAAACTAGTTTTTGATGCCCTCTTTAATGGGAAGTCAGTTTTTTGTTTTATTTTATGCTGCATTGCTCTAACCAAGCAGGATTGTGGAATGTTCTTGAGTGTACTGTTTATGCAACTTAACAATCTCTTGGCCATTGTGGCAGTATGTAAACCACTAATAAATACAGTTTTTACCCCTTTTAAACTGACGTAAAATGGTATAAAGGTTTGTTCATATACTTATAAAAGTATCTAAATTAAAAGTTTCCCAATCTGTTTTTTAAGAAACATTTTCAGCTTGCTGCAGTTTTGTTTTTTTTTTAAGCTTGCTGCAGTTTTTAAAGTCCAATAAGGAAAACTTTTTCTGAAGAATAAAGTTTGGAATATCAAAAATAGCCAAAGATACAGGATGTCTGAATTTGGGTGATAACAATAATGTTTAAAAGTTCATCAGCAGTAGGCACCTGCTTAAGATTCTGCTGGATTGTCTCCCACGAGAGGCTTTTACTTTTATTTGATTATATGAATTTGCCCAGGCTTCATTAAAAATTACTGTACTTTTTACCTTAGTGAAATATTAATGGGTTCAAGTATCATGTCTGCTTCTATATTAAAAACTGATTGAAGTGTGTACGGAAATACTAAAAATGACATCATTCTAGAACCTTGTTATAAAGATCACCAGATCAGCATCACTTAGATGCTTGTTAAAATGCACAACTCCAGGGTCAAAACGCATTTGGCCAAATACAGCATTATGACTCTTTCTTGGGACAGACAAAACTTCAGGTCTTTTTTTCTTGTAGTGCTTCCTTTTCTGTCCCCTTTAAGGCTTCTGGATGCTAGTTGGTCTTCTCACAGCAGGTGGGTACCCTTATTTTTCAAGATATTTGAAGGAGAAAATAACATTATTTAGGCCATAGGAGCTTTTAAAAAATGCTTATATTTTTATGCAAATCAGACATTTGGGTACAGTATTCAAATTTAAATACAAATGACTTGGTTTTTAACTTTTATTGTTGATATATATAAGCCAAAATTGGGACAGGCCATCGATAATACACCAAAAGCTAGCGTCTTGACACTGGGTACTGCATCAATTTCAGTTACAAGTTATGTGAAAGTACTTGAGCTCTGGTTATCCCCTCAGTACAGTACAGTGGTTCTTATAGTATGATCCCTGGATTATCACCATCACTGCTTTTGAACCTGTAAGAAATGCAGGTTCTGAGGTCTCAACCTAGACCTAAGGAATCAGAAACTCCAGGTTTCAGGCCTGGCAACGTTTTAACGAGCCTTATAGGTGATCCTGATATGCACTGCAGTTTGGGAACACTGGTACCGTGTTTCTGGTATAGTATTTTTTTTCTTTTTTCGGTACCAGGGATCAGACTCAGGACCTTGTGTTTGCCAGGTAGGTGTCATGCCACTGAGATAAATCCCCGGCCCTCTGGAATGCTATTCTACCTGATCAAGTTTGAAAATGTGTGGAAGTTGGGAATGGAACACTAACATAATAAGAAGTCTCTCTTACTTCTACCTGGACAGAAGTGCACCTATATGTCCATGACTTACACAGAAATTATGTAACTATGATGTAATTCAGTTATTACACATACACTTGATTATTATGTATGTTTGCAGTATTATTTATAAACTTTGTATAATCTTAAAGTTTTTGCAAAACATTTTTAAGTATGCAAGCTTACAAGGTGAAAATAAAACTTATTTGCCAGATAGTTGATGAATGCAGCATTTATACTAGTATTTAGTGAGTTCTGATCCTTCACTCTTTTTTATTTTTTTGGTACTGGGGATCAAACTCAGTACCCCGTGCCTGCGAGGCAGGCAGCAGAACCGAGCTCTGATCCTTCACTCTTAATCATTTGTATAGTAGGCACACAGACAGTCTTGAGTTAACTGGCTCTTATGACTGCATTACCATTCTGTTGTTTAGTTCCCCTAGCCAACTACGAAAGGGTGAGAAAGATGCTGTAGACCACCATATGCTGAGAAGTTTTCCACATTACATACACAGTTTACAGGTACTTAACCAACTATTCTTACCCAGACAAATCGAATATAAATCTGTTTTCTTAAATTTCTTCTCTGATTTTCCCTTAAGGTTGTAATGAAATAAAAGTAAAAACTTTTAAATCAATACTGTAAGAAGAATTGGTTATTAAAAATTAAAAGGGAAATAGATTATCCTAAAGGAGCTACAAGGGAAGAGGTCATTTGCTTTTGTTTCCATTTTTCCTTTTTCTTTTCATTTTTTTGTTTTGTTTTGTTTTTTGGTACCGGGAATTGAACTCTGGTCCTTCTGCTTGTGAGGCAGTTGGTGGAACCACTGAGCTAAATCCCCAGCCCTTTTCATTTTTTTTGGTACCGGAAATCAAACTCAGTTCTTTGCGCTCGCTTGCCAGACACACAGCACCACTGAGCTACATCCCCGGCGTGGGTCATTTGATTTTGAATGAAAATCTGTGGCCTTTTAACAATAAGCTAGAAGTGTATAATGCTAAAGGATAGAGAGGTCAGTAGTAGCACTTCAGTGTCTTCTTTGCTCTTGCAACTCATTTTTCATGGAAAAAAATTCTCCAATGTTTAAAGGAATTAGGGTTGAGTATGAAATACTGGACTTAATGAGTTTAGCTCTAGGACTTAATTTTAAAAATAAATCCTTATTAAAGCAGGCTGCAAGAACTCTGGTTAAAAGCACTTTATTGATTATAATTATCAATTCACATATTTCACAAAGGAACTGTACAAATAAAGGAATTGCTGTAAAAGATCCAAGAATACTGTTAAATCATGGCACAAGTCCAAAGTTTGTATGGTTTAAAGCTCATATAAGAGTTTAATCTAGCATGTTTACTTTTTCCATTATCAGACACAGTACTGACATTCATAGTCACTTGGCTACAAGTGTATAGAAACTAAGTGAACAGAAATATTTTCAGAATGCCTTAACAGGAAAATATTTTAACCAACTTTAAAGACACACTTAGCTATGGATGCCTTTGGATAAGAAAATGTAATTGCTCAGATGCTTCTTTGAAAAGAAAACAATTGGATAGAGCACCACTGTGTAAAAGACAAAAAGCCTGAAATACTCTACCATATGCATCACTGAACTATTAATTTAAAAATACTGTATTATGTCAGTTTTGATGAGTACATTTATTACAGTTTAAACAATAGGTTTTTTTTCCCCCATAATGCTGCACTATACCATATTTTACAAAACGAGTCACTGGATTTTGTTTGTTTGTTTGGGTACCGCGGATCGAACTCGTGGTCCTTGCACTTGCAGGGCAGGTGGCGGAACCACTAAGCTAAATCCCTGGCCCCAGTCACTGGATTTTAAGAAAAAAATTCTTTCAGGAAATTTTATCAACATGCAAAAATCTTGGCTAAATACAAGGTGCACCATCAATCTGTGATTAATAAATTTTTGAAACAAAAATGCGGTAACTTAGATGTTCAACAAACCATTTTATCGAATGCCTATTGTAACCCATACTTAAAATACAGCACCGAATTTGAGGCAACGCATGATGAACAAAACTAGTAAATCTGAATTCTGCTTAATCCAATTTAAGATAAGTTTTATTTATTGTGCTTCTCTTTCTCAGAAAAAAGATGACGTTAAAAAAATTAAAAAGAGGGCCAGGAATGTCGCTCAGTGGTGCTGCGCTTGCCTGGCAAGCACAAGGTCCTGAGTTCAATCCTTGGTACCAAAAAAAATTAAAAAGATGAGATGGTTTTTAAAATTGTAACGAGATCAGACATAGTTTTAAACTTTACTTCCCACAATTGTAAAAGAGAAAGGAAAAAGAGATGAATATAGCTTTTAAGTATTTTTTAAAAGCCTGACTTACCCTAAAGATTCTTGAAAGAACATTCATTCCTAAAATGACAGGCACATTTAGGGATTGTTTATTCAGTTTTTTCTAAGTTAAACTAACCAACCTTAAGCTTCAAGTATTAAATGTTATAATTTTAAATCTGACATTCACATCAAATCATAATTTTCCTGAACATTTTCACTTTTATAACAAGTATTTAAGACATCACTAGGGTTAGAGGAGGTTGGTTATATAACAATGCCACAATATTTTTTAGCAATAAAAATTCTATTTTTTGTTGCCTGGAGAAAAGTCTGTCATTAGTCTCAGGTTAAACTTCCTTAACATACTCCAGAAGTTCTATATCCATTATTTCAAGATTAGTTTACTTGCGTTCATCAGCATCAGCTTGTGTAAGTCTAAATTAAAATGAACTGCTTACCAGACTTTCTTGCTGTTGACATACTGAGCCAAAATCTTTGCCTCTATGAATCTGGAATTCAATCTGGTGTGTCAACTGAAATTCTGAGCTAGGAAGAGAACTTAGTTTGACTCTACCAGTATTCACATCATGTTTTCAGGGAAATGAGACCTATCAAAGCGGAGGAGATAAGCTTGCTGACACCAGAACCTGCTTTTGTAAGCAGACTGGGCTGATTAACCAAGCCATATGGTGATAATGTTTTAGAAAAGAATATATGGCTTTAAAATACTCTTGCTGGGCCGGGGATTTAGCTTAGTAGTTCCGGCACCTGCCTCGCAAGCCCAAGATCCCGAGTTCTATCCCTGGTACCAAAAAAAAATACTCTTGCCAGAGCTGGGTGTGGTGGTCCATATCCATAGTTTCCACCTCTGGAGGCTGAAGCAGGATTGTCTGGCCAGCCTGGGCAATATGGCAGAACCCTGTCTCAAAAAAAAAGGTAGACCTCAAAATTTACTCATTTTCGACATGATACAGAATCTTCTGAGGCACATTATGTTTAAATGTTTTTGTTTCGTGGTGGTTGGGACCTAACCCAGGGCCTCACACTTGTCTGGCAAGTGCTATACTACTGAGCTACATCCCCAGCCTATGTTTAAATGTTTCTTAAAATGTAAAGAAAAAATTAAGAGGCACCAGAAAACTGTAATATTCCTGGTGATGCAAATTCCTTAAATCTGGCCATATTTTTAAATCTTGAAAAATCTAAGATCCAAACTATACACAATGTGTATACAAATTATATACTCATTGGGCTGGGGATTTAGCTCAGTGGTGCTACACCTGCGAGGCAAGCATGAATTCCTGAGTTCCACGCTCGGTACCAAAAAAAAATTATTTACTCATTGATTTCAGGAAGTCTTATGTGCAACAACAGAATTAGACAATCAGCAGAACTCAAACTAAGTAAATATACTTGGCAACTGGAATCCCTATCACTAGAAGAGAAAGGTTTAACTAGCAGGGTAATTACTGCAGTAGTGAAAAGTTTGCCACCAATTGGTCCTAGGTACAATTAGCCACAATATTCAACAGTGGTTAGTTTTCAGTTGCCTAGTGTGCATATTATAGGAATCATTTTAAACTCTTTACACAAACTTTAATAAAATGTCATTTAAAATGTTAAGACCATAGAATTCTAGTCTGTATTGTGCCTCTTGAAAGTATATTACAGTAACAAGAGATACTGTCTCCATATATATAAAAATGTGTACGCCTGTGTGTCTCTGTCTGTGGTTATTTACACAACAGAAGTGCTTTCTTGAACTGGATTTTGGAATGAGTTGCTGAACCCTGTTTTTTGGAAATGAATATGTTCTTTTAAAATGTGCCCTATATCAAAGAGCTGCTCTTTATGAAGTGATATAAATAGTTCACAAATAAACATTAATAGCAACAGTTCACAGAACTCCTAACCAAAGGACAAATACACATTTATACCTGCCATCTACAATATTTTGTTTTGGTCCTACATTGCCTCTATCCATTTTATTCTGTTTCTAATATCAACTGACCAGGGCCAGGGATTTGGCTCAGTGGTTTCGCCGCCTGCTGTGCAAGCGCAAGGACCCAAGTTTGATCCCCGGTACCAAAAAAAAAAAAAAAAAATTAGGTACTAATATCAACTGACCTTTATAAACAACACTGCTTTTACTACTGTTGATGCACAATATCAGCATATATACAATATAAAAATGAAAATTTACAAGTAAAATTTAGAAGTATTTAGCTTAGGGTTATAGGTGATCAAAAGTTATCTGAATAGTAACAGTTTACTAAGTTACAAAACAATGCACTTCTTTATATCAGAACAATGCACTTCTATATATCAGAATAACACGACTTCACATCAAGCAAGACTAACAGTATTCTGTCAGTCACATTTCTAGGAGAAAACCAGGGAGGAAAAGTATCTTTTGTTTAAATTGAGGGGTGGGAACATTCTAGTAATAGCTGATATTATACCACTGACAAGTGGAGGAATGTCTTGGTATATTCCTGACTCCTTTGCTTTAGGAATTTGGCTTTTAAAGGTGCGTCACTGAGATTCAGATATTCTTTGAAGCAAAACCACATACAAACCAGTATTTTGCGGGAAGGAAAGATTACAAGAGAGCAAAAAGCTTAAATGTTTCACTTTATGAAAGGTGGGGGCTTAGTTTACATAAATGCAGATTTTTTTTTTTTCTTTCAGGGTCTCACTGTGTAGTTCAGGCTGGCCTTGAACTCATGGCAATCCTCCTGCCTCAGCCTTCCAAGTTCTGGGATTACAGGCATATGCCACCACTCCTGGCCATATAATTATTTTATATTACATAAAATTCATAAAAACCACCCTGTTAGAATTGATAACAAATCAGTGCTAGCAAATGGGTCAAATTTTACATTTCTCTCAAAAAGTTACTGCTGTCACAGTATTTTCTGTCTAGATGTTACTAGTAGAGAACACTAGATAAGATTCTTCAGATGCAGAGACAACCCAGATGGTTATCAAACTTCTGAAAGGTAAGTACACTCTACAAACTTGGTTCCAGAATATGAAGTCAACAGGCAAGTCCAGCGGTTTGAAGGTACACAAAAATTTCAACTGATCATGACCAGGCTTTTAGTACTAATCTTTTTTGTTTTCTCTCTTGTGGTGCCGGGGATCGAACTCAGATCCTTCCGCTTGCGCAGCAGGCGGCGAAACCACTGAGCCAAATCCCGGGTCCATGACCAGGCTTTTAAAGACCCAAGAATTATATATATGCTGGTACTTATGTTTTATTAATATAATAAATTCTAATGAAATTTCTTAGGTATGTCCAAAATGTCAGAGTGTAATCTTTTTTCTCTGGCATTCATATTATTTGTCCGCTCAAAGGACTGAAAATGAACACTTGTGTAAGATGATATGGAAAGGATGCATAAGAAACTAACGACTTTTCTCAGAGGTACCTCACCTATCAACACTATTAATTTATTTATTTTTCTTGAGACAGGATCTCACTATGTAGTTCAGGCTGGTCTTGAACTCATAGCAACCTCTTGCCTCAGTCTCTTGAATGCTGGGATTACAGGTGTGTACCACCACCCTGACGATACTCTTAAACATTAAGTGTTTGGTTAGATCTGAAGAAATGCCAAATTCAAGGGGACTTCCTTAAACATAGCACACACATATCATCACTTCCATCTATTATGAGGGCTGATTCTTGCATTACAAAACTGAAAGACAACATTTCTTACATATACAAAATTTAAAATGTTCTTAACAAAAAGCAAACACCATGGGCAGCTGCTATAAAATATACATTCTTGTCTAAAAAAAAAAACAGTACAAGCAAAAGTTTATCAAGGTTAAATTAAACTAACTCCTCAAATTAATGAATACCCTGGTGCTTTTGATCTCAGCAAGCACCCTGCCTTGTTTTTCCTTCCACATTTTTTTTTGTAGTTTACTGAAAACTTTTTGTATTTAACACAGTAATAGAAAAATCTTCACCTGCAAATACAAGGTAGAATTTGTTTTCACAGCTATAGGCTGTAGCACTGATTTCTCCAGAGATTGATGGAGAACAGAAAAAAATACTTGGCACTGTTAATTCCAGATTCTAAGGAAACTGTCCCAGGAGCCTGTTGCCACAGCCATGCCATCAGCAGTTACACCTAAACAACTCACGCGGTTGTCATGACCAGCAAGGACACCTTAAAAAAAAAAAAAGAACGAAGTTAGCACCTGTAATTTTAGAATTGGATAAGTGGTATGTATATCTAGAAGCACTCTTTTGGGGAGGGTTGTGGGGTGAGGCAGACTTGCTGTGTGGCCCAGACTGGCCTCAAACTCATAGCAATCCTCCTGCTTTAGGTTCTAGTGCTGGGATTACAAGTGCACTACCACACTCAGCTTTAAAAGGGTTCTTAAGGGCCGGGGATTTAGCTCAGTGGTTTCGCTGCCTGCTGTGCAAGCGCAAGGACCCGAGTTCAATCCCCGGTACTTAAAAAAAAAAAAAAAGCGTTCTTAAAAATAACAAGTTCCAGCCAGGTGTGGTGGCACATGCCTGTAATCCCTGCACTTTGGAGGCTGAGGCAGGAAGATTGCTGTGAGTTTGAGGCCAACCTGGGTGACACTGCATTCAAGGCCACCGTGAACTACATAGAAAGACAGTGTCTCAAAAACAAAACAAAAAGTCGGGCTGGGATGTAGCTCAGTGGTGGAGCATTTGTGCCTAGCATGCACCCAGCCTTGGATTCAATCCCTAACACCACAGGGAAAAAAAAGGTTCACTGATATCTAACACAATTGATAAAAATGGATCAACTCAAAGACAAAAGTGGCAGAAAGCCTGAAAGTTCTTAGTGTAAGTACATCAGTTAAGAAATATAAACCAAAAAATTAACTCTAGAGAATAAAAAAAAATCTCTATGTAGCAAAAGAAGTCATAGTATGTACCTCACTGCTCAGCAGTAAGTACTTTTAAAAAGGATAATTATATAAACACTGATCATTGCTCTTGTAGTTTACTGAATGTAAGAAAAACTTATTTCATGGAAAAAATTGGAGAACGAGAAGAATGTGGGTGTGTAAAGCATGGATGTTATCGCCAAACCTTTGTCATCCATAATTGGTCAAGGGATAAGGCCCAAAAGAAAAAAATCACACACCAGCAACTGGGCATGTTACTTAAGGGATGAAAGTAAATAATTTAAAAAGATTAAAATTGTTACTTGAGAAGTAGAAAATAGGGATGGGGTCAAAGGTAACAAATCATGAAAATCAGTATGGAGAGTCCTTAAAAACTAAAAATAGACATTACATTTGACCCAGCTATTCCCCTTCTAGATACCTTCCTGAAAGAGTTAAAGATATCCTATTACAGTATATGCATACCCATGTTTATAGCAGCACAACTCAGAATAGCTAAATCTGTCCATATGTCTGTCCATCAGATGAGTGGGTAAAGAAAATGAGGTATTTACACACAGTGGAGTACTACTCTGCTATAAAGGATAAATTTGAGTCATGTGTAGGAAAATGGATGCTCCTCCAGACCACAATGTTGAAGTACATCAGACACACAATGTTAAATATTGCATGGTTTCTCATAGGAGAAACTAGAGCAAAATAAAAGATGATAGGAAACAAGGAAGATGGATTCTTCTCAGATGGGAAAGGGACCAAGAGATGAGGGAGGAGGGGTAAAGGGGTAGTAACAAGGACTACCATGTGTTATGTACTTGTACCAAGGCCCAATGATGTCTGAAATCCTTATGTGCTGCAAATGTACTAATAAAGATGTATACTTATTTATTTATTTATTTTTTTGGTACCGGGGATCGAACTCGGGTCCTTGCGCTTGCAAGGCAGGCAGCGGAACCACTGAGCTAAATCCCCGGCCCTGATGTATACATTTTTAAAGGGAACAGATTATATAAAACCATTTGATTCCTTAAGTACAATTTTAAGTATAAGTTTGATTTTTTTAAAGATTAAAAATCACTCTTTAAACACAGTCCTCAGTATGGTCTGATGTGTATTCTAACCTTTTTTTTTTCTTATATATATTTTTTAAATTTTTATTTTATTTTATCCCACCCCCCACCCCCCGCCATGTACTATCGTAATTCTTTGGAACCTGCAGGGGAGAACTCAGAGGATGAGGCTAAGGGAAGACAACAGGTCTGTGTCTGTGCCTGCCAAGATCTGTTCCGAAGGAAACAACAACTCACAGCAGCAGCAAAGTTTCCTACTGGGTTGTAAGAAAAGCATGATTTACAAAAAGACCATACTGAGTAATACTCATTATTTATCTTTATACCCAAATTTACTGGAATTTACTCACTCTTCAGAAAACAAAAATACAGACCATGGATTGTAACTGCACTCAGAGGGCAAGGACAGGTGAACCCTAACAAACACCTTCAGGTTACCATTCTCCACAGCGAAGCCTGGGAAATGAGCCACAGAACACCCTCCCCTCCCGCTGCTCAGAAGCACATGCAGGCTTACTCACCTGCACGATCTCCTTTCAGTGTGTCCCACACGTTGCAATTGAAATCATCATAACCAGCTAGCAGGAGGCGCCCACTTTTTGAGAAAGCTACAGAAGTGATCCCACAGATTATGTTGTCATGAGAATACAGTAACAACTCTTGGTCAGCACGGAGGTCAAAGAGCCGGCAGGTAGCATCGTCGGAGCCAGTAGCAAAAGCGTATCCATTTGGGAAAAACTGTGGAGAAAAGCAACAGACATACTCCACAGATGCAAACAAAACATGGAGGTGGTACAGGTGTTACTAAACTCTGGTGTGAGGCTTTTCTACATTAGAATTCCAACTGTGCTTACCATGGGAGTGACTGCATGGCACTAATGATTTCCATTTGCTAAAACTAAGTATTGCCACATAGGTGGTGGCACATGCCTGTCAGCTCAGGAAAGACTGAAGGATCATGACTTTGAGGCCAGCCTGGACTACATAACTCAAGGCCAGCCTGAACTATATAGCAAGACCCCATCTCAAAAAACAAAAAGAACCTAAATACTCATCTGTAAGCTTCTGTGATTTTCTTCATAAAGATATACACAACTTGTGATAAATTTATTTTATAATTATTGTTGCTACTCTTAATAGGATTTTCTTCCTATATTCTAACAGATTATTGGTATGGGAAAGCCACTGCTTTAAAAATAGTTCTGTAATCCAGAAAATACACTGAACTTTTGCTTGAGATTTCTAGATAACTGAACATATAATTTAAAATAATATTTTTTCTACTTTCTAATGCAACTGTTATTTCAATTTTGGATTAACCATACAGACTGACAGTTTCAGATGGATTTAAACAGTGATGTTGCTCATGGTGGTGCACACCTGTAATCCCAGCACTCAAGAGGCTGAGGCAGGAGGATCACTACTAATTTTAGGCCAGCCTGAATCACATAGTGAGACCCTGTCTCAAACAAACTAAATAAATAATGGTGACAGCGGTATTACTGTCCTGTTATTCTCTGTAAGGAGAATGCCTCCATTGTATCTCATTAAGTTCTAGTTAGGGTACTACTGGGGGCAGGCAATGTTAGTAGGCTCTTGGGAATACAAATAGTTTTTAATGCTGTTTAGGATGGTTAAAGCCTGGCTCCCAGTGGAGATGGTTCCTCCATACCCAATGACGAAATGCTTTTCCTTTTCAAATTCCCAGAAGGCTCGTGAAGTCGGTACCATGATTTCTTTCTTCTACCCACCCACCAAGCACGCCATTGTCCGTCATCCCTGTCGACAGTGAACTTGAGAAGGTCCTTCATAAAGACTTAACCACACCGGAACTGGCTACTGGAGTGTTCCTGACCACTTTCTTCCATTTTAACAGCCAACGAAATAACTCCCTATGCTCCTCTGCAGGAAATGCAACACTATCATTTGTACCCATTTTATAGGCAGCACAGACAGAGTCCATTCTCTATTACAGAAGAAAACAAAAAAGCCTACAACATAGAGCCAAAACACCCAATTCAGAAGACCTCCCTTTAGTGTCGGGGGTGGTAAGCAAATACTCTGTTCAAGAGATGATGACCATATATCCCACTTTCCCCAGGGAGGTCCCCCATTTATGCCCATCCTACTAAAATCACTAACAGGGCCGGGATTTAGCTCAGCGGTTCCACTGCCTGCCTCGAAAGCACAAAGATCTGAGTTCGATCCCCAGTACCAAAAAAAAATAAAATAAAATCACTAACAGCTTGCTCTTTTAAATTCAAAAGCTTCCTGGCTGAGATGGCATAGTATATATACGTAATAGTATATATATAATGGTACCTTACCAAAACCATTAACTGGTTTTGACTGCCTGGGAGTCTGAGATGGCTGTCAGAACTAGGGGAAATACATGTTTGTAATGTATTCAAACAAATTATAAAATATGCAAAGGGAAATACTTCAGACATAAATAGATTCTACACAGATTGTGCCTAACACCAGCTTTTTTTTAAAAAAAGTAATAGAGAAGGGCGGGCTTTCTAATCCTAGTCTAAGTCTTTTTTTTTTTTTTTTTTTTGAGACAGGATCTTGCTATTGTAGTTTAGGGTGGTCTTGAACTCACTAATGGTATGTAGGCCAGGTTGGCACAGAACTTGCAAAGATCTCCTGCCTCAGCCTCTCCAGTGCTGGGATTACAGGTGTGAGCCACCACTCCTGGTTTAAAAATCATCATTTTTTTAGACAAAAGAAATGGGTGTTTTTGATCCACTGCCTTTTTAGTATCTTATACACTGATAAACTGATATGGTAAACCTCATTAATAGATTTCCTAATGTTAAATCATCACACTTCTAGAACTAATCTTCCTTGATGATGGTGTGTTTTTACTTTGGCTCCTGGTTGGACTTAGTTTGCTATAAATTTTTGGAGATATTTTTGTAATGTTTTGGCTTTGGTTTTTTTGAGACAGGGTCTTGCTATAGTTCAGGCTGGCCTTTAAACCACTACATAGCCCAGTGTAGTCTCAAACTCATGGTGATGCTCCTGCCTCAGCCTCCCAAGTGCTGGGACTACAGGCATGTGCTACCACACCAGGCTTTTCCTGAGATATTTTTAACTAGTTTTAATTTCTCAATTTACTTGATAAACACCACTGTGACAGTTATGACACAGAGAGACTGCAGGGATTGGGGAACAGGCAGAATCCTGGGCCCTTAGCTTCTTACTCATCAAAAGTGTGACTTGTGTTTGTCTCCTGAGGCAGTTATGGACTTAAAAATGTTTTTTTCCCTAAAAACTAGGACTCTTCACTTGGGCCTATAAATGTCTAATACATAACTAAAGGTAGGATAAGGCCTGACCTTCATTTTATATCCTTTGTTACTGTAAATCTTTGTTCCAAGACTTTCTCAGCTCTGCATATGGGTACTTTGATCATTTAGGAATGTTTATCTAAAAGTTGTCAAAACAAAGTTGCTTATCCCAGAATTTACTTGCTTTCATCTCCCTTCAAGACCACAGACCTCAAGATAAGAGGTTAACAGAGATATCCGACTGTGCCTGGCAGTCACCAGCCTTTCTCCTTCCCTGTGATCACAGGGACTCCAGGGACAGCATAGCTCCCCATGGCTGAGCCCACCACAGACAGACACTCACTTCCTGGGGACAGAAGCACTCCTCAAGCTGCGAGGATTCCGAGGATTCCGCTGCTGGAAACCAGGACTGGGATAATGCTCTGTGGACCCCGCCCACCACCTCTAACCCTCAGAGCTGGCCTGCTATTCGGGTGGCTGATCTGGTCCCCTTCATCGAACCACTCAAGCTGGAGTCCTGCACTACTTTTCTTCCTCTCCTTTGGTAAGAGCAGGACTAATCTCTGTCAGCTCCTCAAGCTGAAGCATCTTACCATTTTCTCTTACTTTGTAAGTGAAGTTTTGTCCTGTATATCTGTGCTTTAGTTTTAATTTTCATTATTACTAAAAGAATCATTTTGTCATTCAAAATGCCACTTTTAAAAAAATAATCCTTTTATTTTATTCTTTTCCAAAATTTTTAAATATTTGAATTTCTTTATATTGCCATCTAAATTTTGATGTCAGATTCCCTGTGCCCATAAAATATACTACTAGAGTTTTTACTGGAACTGTATTAAATCTATAAGTCAAATTGAGAAGGACTGACAGTTTTTATATGAACATAGTACACTTCTACATTTAAGTCTGTTTTGATTTCCTTCAGTACTATTTACATTTCAGCATATAGATCAAGTGTACATATGTTATATTTATACCTAAGTATCTGTTCCTTTGGAACTACTGTAAATAGTACTTATTATTCCATGTTCCTATTGTACATTGCTAGACAGTGGTTTTTCAGTATCACAAGAAAGTGGTTCCAAGAAACTCCATAAATACCAAAATCCACAGATACTCAAATTCCTTTAAAAATGGCATAGTTGGGCCGGGGATTGAGCTCAGTGGTTCTGGCACCTGCCTCGCCAGCAAAAGGTCCTGAGTTTGATCTCTGGTACCAAAAAAAAGGCATAGTATTTGTATACAACCTATACACATCCTCTTATATATATTTTAAATCATCTCCGTATTAGTTATAATACCTAAGACAATGTAAAGGCTATATAAATGTTATATTATATTCCCTAGGGAATATGACAACAAAGGGCTCAGTTGAGACACACTTTTTTCACATACTTTTAATCCATGGTCGGTTGAATCTGCAGACAATGAATCTGAAGAAATGGAGGGCCAAATGTATAGAGAGTAAGACTGGGATGGGGATGGGGGTGTATCTTATATCCTGTGACCTTGCTAAACCTTGCTAGGTTTTTGAAGATTCTTTGGGACAATCATGTTGTCTGTCAATGGAAAGTTTTATTTCTTCTTTCCCAATCTCCTCTTTTCCTTTCGTTCCCATATTAATGCTGACCAGGATTTTCTAGTAAAATACTGAACTAGAGAGAGGTTAAGAGTAGACATTCTTGCTCTGTTCTTGTTCATGGAAGAAAACTTTCATTCCTTCACCATTAAGTATGATGTTAGCTGTATGTTTATGATTTTCCTTTTATGAAGTGGAATTTAATTTGCTTTTTATTTTGAGGATTTCTGGAATATATGTTCATGAGGTAAATTGGTCCATAGTTTTCTTTTCCTTTGTCCTTTCTTTATGGTTTGCTGTTTGTCTGGTTACATAATCAGGTTAATTCTGGCTTCATAAAGAAAGGTAGAAAGTGTTTCATCACCTTCTAAGTTCTGATCCACTGAACTGGCTGCTTCCCAGTGTCGTTGGTCTGGCTTTCCCACTATTAACAGGTGGGGAAAACATCGCACTGCAGTCCAGCAGGTCACTCAGCTCCTTATCGGTGCCTATCGCGGCCATGCGCTGTTGTTGGGGGTTCGTCTTCGGCCACTTCTCGCAGGTCCAGCCTCCGGCGAAAGTTCCTTCAGGCCGCGCGCGGGCAGGCTCGGCGGCCGCGTTCCTCTGGGCGGAGTGCGGTCTCCCGACAGAACTTGTGGGTCTCCTCAGGCGGGCACTTTTTTCGCTGAGGGTCCTTGGCCCCGCGCTCCGTTCACCCCAGATCCCTCCACGCCGACCGCGCTCAGTTAACCCCAGCGTGCCCCGCGCCGGGAGCGGGGGCGAGCATGTTAACTTTTTTTTGAGACAGCTTATAACCACTAGTTCAGGTTGGTCTTGAACTCACTATGTGACCCAGGCTGGCCTTGAACTTGCAATGGTCCTCCTACCTCAGCCTCCCACGTGCTAGTATTATAGACATGCACCACCATGCTCAGCACAATGTTAACTATTTTTAAGTGTACTTTACTCATAAACATATGACTCATTCATCTTCATATATACTAGAGTACTTTTATCTGGCAAAATCTACTTGCAGTTATCTGGGTTTTTAAAATATGAAGTAGCTCAAATAATTTATACCATTTACTAAGCATATAGCATGTAATATCATTGAGTCTCCACACCATTCTTTGAAGCAGGTGGTTTTATTCATTTTAAAAACTGAGGAATCTTAGACTAGGAAAGTTAAGTAGCGCAACTAGTCTCACACAGCTGGTAAATGGCAGAACAAATATCTGATCCTAGATTTGGCTAATTTCAGGTTCAGACTTTTTTCTCCTTTGAACACACTGCTGTGCACACCCATGAGTTGCCTATTTGCTCAAGGACTGACCTCTCAAGCCAATTTTGGAAATAAAACCTATATTTCATCTGTACATAAAGGCCTAGCAGTGGTGGTGAACCTGGCACATGTGCTGCAGTGGGCTGTTGGTATCATTGAAAACTCTTAAAAGGTTTGCCATCACTGGCACAGAGCTATAAACTTTTTTCTCAAACCCTTATTATTTAGGCATTCAATGTTATAAAGCATATATTATAAGGATCCTTGAAAGAAATCTGTTAAAATCATGCAAAAGAATTCAACATTTTAAATACAGAATAAATTTTCTTTAAAACGCCATTCACTTACACTGACGGCATTAATGTCGGAGACATGGCCCGTGAAGGACTGTCTGCACATCCCATCTCGAATGTCCCATAACTTGGAAGAGGCGTCACAAGCACCAGAAACGAAAGTCCGCATGTCAGGGCTCAGGGAGAGACTCATCACATCTCCAGAGTGCCCAGTGAATGTGGTGGTCTGCTGGGCGGTTTCGATGTCCCACAGAGCACTATAATTAAAAGCAAGTAAAAATACTTAATGACCATTATCTCTTTGTTAGTTCCTATTGGTACCCTCAACCCCAAGACAGTTGTCTTTTGAATACACTTACCAGGTTGTATCTCCTGAACTTGTAACAATTTGGCTGTCATCTAAAAAGCGACAGCAGGACAAATAGCCTACAGCATAGAGAATAGCAGATTTTAGGTTATCATTGACTAAATAACTCAATTACCATACTATCTGTAAAAATAGATTTGGAAAAGTGTTTACATAATCTATAGTTCTGATTTCAATTATTCTCACTCTATGCTGTCTGCAACTAAATTTTATCAACACTCTTCTGAGGCACTTACTATGTCAATGACACTAGGTACACTAAAAGTGACAAGGTGACCAAGACATCCATCATCTAAATTACCTAGGGAGGAGCCATGCTGCTTTACATGAATAACCATAATCTGTGACAGACAGTGATAAGCATCTTGGAGAAAAATCCTTACAACACTGTGAGAAATTAGAAGAACATCAATGCAGGCACATGGTTGCTGAGCATCATCAGCCAAAGCGACATATGGAAATAGCAGGGAAGCACCATTCTAAAGACTTTTTAAAAGCATGGTCCAATAGTAATGCCAAAAATTATATGAGTAGAAATCAGATGAGTGCCGATAATTCCTAATTAACACCATTAACCAAATACTACACTATGGAACTACTGTGTTCACACTGGCAAATACAGCAGTAGGCTATCGTGTAGTGAAAAATGCCTCATTAGTGTATCTTAACATATACTGAGTGCAGATGCCCTAGGTCCATAAATGTTATATGGGGGCATAAAATAGAAAATGTTATTTGCTTCCTTTTTGTATATTTAATTATAGTTTGGAACATGCATTAATTCATTTATATTTATTTTGAGACAGGGCCTCACTATGTAGCCCAGGCTGGCCTTGAACTTGCAGTGATCTCCTGCCTCACCTGAATGCTGAGATTATGTTTCGAATTTTTGCATGTTTATAAAAAAAGTACAACTATTTTTGAAAGAAAAATAAAATTATGGGGCTGGAAGTGTAGTTCCATGGTAGAGTATGTGCTTAGCATGCACAAGGTCTTAAGTTCAATCTCCGGCACCAAATAATATTACAATAATAAAATTATGGTCAAGGTTGGGGATGTAGCTCAGCAGCACAGTGCCTGCCTGGTAAGCACGAGGCCCTGAGTTCGATTTACAGTACCAAAACAAAAACAAACCACCAAAATTATGGTCAACATTTACAAGTTAGTATTTTCCTAATTCATGGTAATTTCTGCGTCATTACCATTCATCCTTTAGCCAACTTAGCACGATTAGACAAAAACCCTCAATCAGTGCATTCTAGGGATAAAGTAAGGCTCAGTAGGAAAGAAAAGCACTTCATGAAGCTCACCTGTATGACCCGGCAACTCTCGGCTCACCCTCACATTCCCCTCTCTGGTCTTCAAGTTATATATAGAGCAGATGTTGTCCAAGCCGCCACAAGCAACATAGTTTCCAGAAGGAGCATACGCACAGGTCATCACCCAGGAGGACCGCAGGGGAATAGCATGCATCTGTGAATTTAACAAAAAGTGAGAAAACATTAGTTTACAAAAACAGTCATTTATTTTTCAAACTTTCCTTCTAAGCATTTATTTTTTAAACCTATCTGTAATAAATATTGCTAAAAATTATCTAAGAAAAATAACTCAAATGAAAAGTATAATGGCTTGAGAAAGTAAACAATGAAAATCAAAATACCAATGCACATAAAAATGCCTATTAATATTTTCTGTATTGTCAAATCATTTGAAGAAGTGCTCTTTTTGGAAGTGATTCCTTTACTAGAAGCAATGATGTAAGGATGTTTCAACGCTGTTATTGCTTGTGTCTACATGTCCCCCTAAAGCCTCATGAGGTCAGATAGGGCTTTTTGGAGGTGGCTGGATCTAGAGTGTGTGATGCTGGGATCAAGAGTGTGAAGCTGGGAATGATTCATAGTGCAATGCTAGGATTAAAGCTGCCCCATCCTGTGTGTGAGTTCTACCAGCCTTAAGGGTGGGTAGCCTGGCTACGATAGAGGGGTCAGGAAGAGGGATGCTGCTTGTCACTTGCTGCTGCTTTGATATCTTGCTGCCTTCTGTCTGCCATGAACTGTTCCTCCTCTGCAACCCCCCTCTGCCATGCCAACCTGCCTTGGAGTCAGCCAACTATGAACTGAAACCTCTACACACTGCGAGCTATAGTAAACCTTTCCTCCTTTAACTTTGGGTATCAGGTATTTTGTCTCAGCAATGATAAAACTAAGACAAATGCTAATATAGCCATTTGAAAAATTAAGTATAAAATGTTAAGGATTTGGGCCAGGCATGGTGGTACACATCTGTAATCCCAGCACTTGGAAGGCTGAGGCAGGAGGGTTGCCGTGAGTAGTTCAAGGCCAGCCTCGACTACATAGCAAGACCCTCTCTCAAAAAACTAAAAAAAAAAAAAAAAAAAAAAAAGTTAAGGATTATAGTAAAATTCTTTTTACAGTAGTGGTCAAAAGAGGAACTTCTTCCAGCATAATGCTGAACAATAAAAAGGGAAATAATTAACAAATATCAGAGTCAATTCAAATGGTTCTTCCATTAAGAGATGACACTAGCATTCTTTTAGTACTAAGTGTTTTGAAATCACATTCAAACAACAATGAGAGGGTTTTGCATTGTTTCAGTCACATTCGTCTGGTGCCTTTTTATCCAAACTCAATCATCTGCAGGTTACATGAAAGATTAAAATGTGTAGGTATGTTAAGAAAGACTAAGCGGTCTGTGTAGGATATCTACACACTGCATAAATGCTACTGTGCTCTAAACCTACAGTAACACTTTTATTTCATTTTAGGAAAATGTAGTTGAAGGAGACATGCTTAGTGCCAATTAATACAGAAAAACTGTTATTGTTTTAGCTAGCTTTAAAAATCCCAATCAGACTGAGCACTGGCTCAGTAGCAGAGCACTTCCCCAACACATCCCAGGCCCTGGGTTTGATCCCAGCACAGCTAAAAGAAAGAAAAAAGTCAGGCTGAAGTTATTATTATATGAAATAATATTTTCAAATGCTTAACAAAAATAGTGCTATGTACCAAAAAAAAAAGTGCTGTGTGGGCTGGGGATTTAGCTCAATGGCACCATGCCTGTCTGGCAAGCACAAGGTCCTGAGTTTCATCCCCAGTATCAAAAAAAATTGTGCTATTTATACACAATTATAAAAGTAAGTGATTTGTGAAAGAATATTCATAGTTTTTCCACTACCACTCAGTAACTTTAAATCAGGAATTCCTTCCACTAGATGCATTAAGAGAATCCAAATCCAGTCTTCCACTACCAAACAATACAAACGACTTTGCCTACATCCTATCTTCTAAGCAGTCCAGAAGCACAAATGGGTGCCTGGAGGGGGCCAGGGAAGTGCTTCATGCTAACCATCTAGCTCATCCACAATTAGAAATGAACACCAGGATAATTTCATACCAGGAAATAGGAATTTTAAAAAATTCATTTATGCATAAAAATGGTACTTTTAGGGCCAGGGATTTAGCTCAGTGATTCCGCCACCTGCCTCGCAAGTGCAAGGTCCCAAGTTCGATCCCTGATACCAAAAAAAA